ATAATTTATCATGTTCTTACACTCGTAGATTTAATGATATTTTGTCTCTTTTTAACTTAACTCAATATTGTTCTTTTCCTACCCATACTTCTGGTAACACTATTGATTTTATTATAGCTTCATCTTTTTCTAAGCCTATTGATATCTCTGCTAGCTCTGTTACGTATTCTGACCACCTTCTTATTGAATCTTTTTTTCATTAGATTTTCTTCCTTCAAATTCATCTATGTCTATTTCTAAAAGATGCTGGTCTTCTCTTAATAAAGATATTTTTCTTCAATCTCTTACTGAAACTATTTTTGATACTACCTTATTTTCTGATGTTAATGATTTTGTCTGTGCTTTTAATATCTACATTACTTCTATTCTTGATAAGCTTATTCCTCTTAAATCTTTTACTTATAGGCTCTATTCTCGTAAGGCTCCTTGGTTTGATTATGCTTGTGTAGTAGCCAAGAAAAGTATTAGAAGACTGGAGAAAGCCTATAGATTAAATCCATCTAACTCTCTTTATTCTATCTATGAATCTGAATTAATTATAAATATCTACTATTTTCTAAACACTCAACTTTTCTTAGAAATTCTATAACATCTGCTTCAACATCTAAAAATAGGTGGTCGGTTCTATCTAAACTCTACATAAAAAATCTTCTCACTCATCTTTTTCTGCTCAACAGTTTCATGACTTTTTTGTAAATAAAATTACTTCTTTAAGAACATTTAATTCTAATTTTTCTTCTCATAACTTTACTAAACTTACTACTGAATCTTTCTCTGTATTTACTCCAATAAATCTTTTAGAACTAACTAAAATTATTAATTTTATGTCGTCTACAACCTGTTCTCTAGATCTACTTCCTTCTAATTTACTTAAAGAATTTTCTTCAATATTTTATCCAATCATTCTCAAATTAGTTAATTTATCTCTTTCCACCTCTAAATTTCCAAATTCTTATAAAAATTCTATTGTTATTCCTATTCTTAAAAACTCATCCCTAGATCCTACCTCTTTATCTAATTATAGACCTGTAACTAATATTACTTTCATCTCAAAAATAATAGAAAAAGTTGTTTTTAATCAACTGTCATCCTATTTAGACTTTAACTCCTTGCTGCCTGTATCTAAATCTGGTTTCAGACCTGCTCACAGTACTGAAGCTTCTTTACTCAAAATACACAATGATATCCTTCTCTCTAGTGACAATAGTAATCTTACTCTTCTTCTTGCTCTTGACTTTTCCTCAGCTTTTGATACTGTTGACCATACTATTCTCTTGAGACTGCTGCATCTTTCTTTTAATATTACTGATTCTTGTCTATCTTGGTTTTTTTCTTATCTCTGTAATCGTTTTTCTTCTGTTGTTCTCAATAATTCTACTTCGAACTCCTCTACTCTTACTTTCGGGGTACCTCAGGGTTCTATCCTTGGCCCTCTTCTATTTATACTCTATACTTCTGAACTACCTCGTATTATTAATAACTTTTCTTTCTCTAGTCAACTATATGCTGATGATTCTTACATTTATATTTCTTTTCCTTCATCTAATCTCAATAGTGTTCTTCATAATTTATCTCTATGTCTTTCTTCAATTATCGCTTGGTCTGACTCTATGTGTCTTAAACTTAATCATTCTAAGTTTGAATTAATTTGTTTTAATAAATCTAAACACTCTATTACTATTCCTCCTATTATCTTACCTGATTCTAAAACTCTTGATGTCTCTCATAAGTTTCGTAGTCTAGGTTTTATCTTTGATTCTACTATGTCTCTCTCTTCTCAGATTAATAGTAATTTGTATCTCTTCCTTTCATCTACGTAGAATAAAAAAACTTTTGCCTTTTCTTGATGATCCTACTCTTCTCCTTCTTGTTACTTCGTTAGTCTTATCTAAGATTGATTATTGTAACTCGCTCTACTATGGTCTTCCTGACTCTATACTCTATCCTTTAAGTAAAGCTTTTAACTCTGCTGCTCGTCTAGTTGCTCGTGCCCCTTTCTTTTCTCATATATCTCCATATCTTGTTCTCTTGCACTGGCTACCTATAAAATATAGAATAATTTTTAAAATTTGCACGTTCATGTATAAGTCTCAATCTAAATTATTTCCTAAGTATTTATCAGATATATTAATTGAACCTAAACGCCCCGGTTTACGATCGTCTTCTTCTTCTCGCTTTTTCTTAACTCGTGTTAAACACTCTTTTGCCAAATCTGCTTTTGCTTTTTCTGGTCCTTTTCTCTGGAACTCTCTACCTACTTTTCTGACTACTTCTCCATCACTTGCGAAGTTCAGAGCGGATCTCAAAACCCATCTTTTTTCAAAATTCATTGAGGAGCGCTGTTGAACATCGCGGAAATAGCGCTTTATAAGCTAATTGATTGATTGATTGATTGAAGGCGTGAGAGATTAAGTTTGATTTTATTTTGGCAATGGAGTTAGTTTAATTTTTGAGAAAGCATGAGATGTCTTATTTATTTAATTTCAAAAGTATTGCAAAAACGTCTAGAACAAATTTGTGGTACTTCCGGCATTTTTTCACGCCAAATTTATTCAATTTTGTCTAATTACGTTTAATTACCTTTTGTTTATTTGTATCTCATTTAATTCATTTGTTTTTATGTATATAATAAAATTGTAAAATTGTGTAAAGGCTTGAAAGTATACAAAAGATATGGAAAGTTAGTTTATCTTCCAAGAAATTGTTTTTAGTACGCCCAAGATTTGGGTGATAAAAGTTTTTAACCATATATACACACTCTGCTTTGAATTTTGGAAATTTTACCAGCGTTTAACTGCCACATAAGAAAAAACATTCTCTAGTCTACAAAGCCTTTAAAAAAACATTTACGAAGAATAAAAATAAAATAAGAATCTAAAAAACACCACATCTAAATGGACCAGTTTAATCAAATGTTCATCATAATTTAAAGCAAGACATATTAAGTTTGAATTTTATTATAATATAAGTTGCATGTTATTTATAATTTTTATAATAAAAACAATAGTTTCTTAGTATACTTACATTGATATCTTTCTAGTATTTTTCCAATTCTATTTGTTGTTGCTATATTTATGCATACTTACATTTATGTCTTTTTAGTATTTTCCCAATTCTATTTGTTGTTGCTATATTTATGCATTCATGAGTTTGAACATTGTAAAGAAAAATAATGTTTTTCGAACTCGAGAACTACGTGAATGTTGCGGAATTGCGTGGCTGCGGATGGGAATAATGCAGACTTAGGAGGTTGTGGTTGGAACAAATTTTCTGTATATTCGTACGATTAAATTCATAAAATGTTTGAACGTCGGAAACAATGTAATTTAATAAATATGTCTTGTAAATTTTGTATAAAAGCACATGTCAGGTTTTTTCAGCCATTAAAATAAACAGTTAACCTATCATTGTCTAACCTCTCTGAAATCATGTCAACTAAGTAAGATATTTTACCTCAATATTATATTTTTATATCTATGGAACGAGTAACAGATCTTCAGATCTGACACATTTTAACATTGTGAAACGATTTCACTGTGCAAGCATTTGTTACAGAAACATTTTAGCGGATTTTTAAATGGCACCGGAAATGATTTTCCCCTTTATGTTCATCACGTACGAGTGGCATGACACTCTGTTAGAGGCGCCCGGCTGTTTCGCAGTGGGATCGCCGCCTATCAATGCTTTGTGTGATACGACGTCTGAGTGAACGTTATATGCTGTTGAATCTTTCGAACTTAAATCATCAATGTTATTTTTGTAGTTTATTGTTGCATACTGCAAAAATTACATTTTCTGTTTCCTAATATTTGTAAAGCTCTCAAAATTGCTTCAGAGCAATTTCCCCTGGTCAGATAACTTATGATTTAAGCGAACGGTTTATGAAAAAGCTGCTTTGTTATTTTTTGCTTAAAGGTATCGTCATCCCGTTTTATAAAATCTAGAAATCGAGTCGTGAAAACGAAAGTTACAGAATCACAATACTGCAATCAGTTTCAGGATTTTAGTGGAATGGACTCGGCCAGCATAGAAGGATCCGCCATCAACAATGAATGGATCTCACTTATCTTGGAGGCACGGTCGCATGGTATCAAATGGAGACATTACATGGACACAGCCACGTCCTGCTACTTACTATAACGATAAGTGCTACGCTATCTCGTGCTTTTGATATCGACATCGAGCTGATGGGATTTGATAAAAACCGTTTAACTTAAATTTCCATTTTTAAATAAGGATACGTGAGTGTCAAAATGATACCCAAGTCTGGGCTCTAGACATTTGTCTACTCCAGCTCTCTACCTGTCATTCTTTTAATCGTAGTCGCATAGAAATTTAAATGGAAGAATTGGTTTGCTGCCATGCCACTAAGACATGACGAAAGGGCACAATAACTTTTAATTCAGATAAAACTAAACAAATTGGTAAAACCGTAAACCAAAGAAAACCTTCACAACATACCAATTTATAATATTTAACTTTTAATGCACAATTTTAAAAATACGAAAAATTATATAAAAAGTCATTTTGATGTCATCAAGCTTATTTTGATAGTATTGATAAATTCTTTTTAAAACAATACACATTTCTTTTTTTTCTTCTTACTAGGTGTTTTATCTTTCTTTTCTTTCTGAAATTGGGTTGATTAAATACAATTTAACTGAAAACAAGAAAGTGTCATCAATAACATAAAAAATAATACCGTAAACCAAAGAAAACCTACACAACATACCAATTTATAAATAAATAACACAACTAGGGATGCACCGGATTTAGGTTTTACAAATCCGACCGGGGCCGGACTAGGCCGGATTTAAAATTCAAAAACCGGCCGGGGCCGGATTTTAGTTACTATTTTACATACGTTAGAAAAAATACTCACATTTACGGTTATCTACATGTTGAACACCAAAAAATAACACAAAGCATAAAGTATTGATTGTTTTTTATTGAAAAAATTCCAGTGTACAAAAAAAGTTTATTATTTCACATGTAAATAGTTAAATAAGAGAAGCATTGTATTTTAAGAATATCAGCTTCTCAGCGTTGTCAGGGAGCAGTCTTGTGCGATGCTCAGTGATGATGTCTCCAGCCGTGCTAAACAATCTTTCGGATGGTACACTTGTTGGAGGTGCTAGGTAAACTTGTGCAACCTTTGATATGGTTGGATACTTTGTAGTGTTAAACTTCCACCATGTAGCTGGGTCTTCCTGTCGCTGTAACAATGGTTCTCCCAAGAAAGTTGAGAGTTCATCACTGATGCTATCTTGAAGTGATCTGTTGTTAGAAATACTCGTTACTTCATTTTCCAACATATCTTCGAAACAGTCCCACAATTTTGAAGATGATTCATCAACATGTCTTTTTTTGTTGGCTTTTGGGATTGCACATCCTCTGATGTAGACTCTAATTCTTTGTTATTTTGAGGTAACAATTTAGTGGCAGCAAGCACAACTCCTGCCTTCGCTTCGGTACAAGCTGTATCGTTCAAGAAGCGGGTCTTAAACCTTGGATCAAGCATTGTGGCTACACTATAAACTCGGTCATTTATAATGTTTTGGAACCTGGTGTTGATAGCATTCAGCAGTGTGGCCTTCATTGTTTTAATGCCAGCATCCCTACTTTCTTTTTCCAAAACTAATACCAAAAGATACACCATTGGAATAACCAAAGATATAGATGCTGATGATGAGCTAACTTCTCTGGTAACCTCCTCGAATGGTTCCAAAACCGCAGCAACAGTTTCAGCAACAGACCATTGATTTGGTGACAAATTAGTAACAGATTCATTTTCAGCACAGTACAATGTTATTGCTCGACGTTGCTCTAACAGTCGCTGCGCCATGAAGAATGTTGAATTCCACCTTGTGGGGATGTCTCGAATTAACTGGTGTTTTGGCAGATTTAAATTCGCTTGCAAATTGTGCAAACGATCCGTGGCTGATGACGAGTGTTTGAAATGGCCTACTAATTTATGTCCAACTTTCAGGAGATCACTAACACCACGTTGACTGTAACACCATCGTTGATACAGAGTTGAACCGTGTGGGCAAAACAAGGTGCACTTTTAATGTTTGGCTGGGTGGGCTGGATTGATACATTTCCTAGCAAACTCGCATCACTGTCATTTGAGGTGGCATCTTCGCATTCTACGGCTACTGCAATCGAAGACTTTAAACTGTTCATATTATGATACTGAAGTGGATGCTTTGACCTTAGATGAGTAATCAAAGAAGACGTTGAGAAACTTTTGGGGTTATCAGGCTTACCCCGCGATAATACTGCATTGCATTCCTTACAAACTGCCTTGGATTTATCGTTTGTTTTAACGTCAAAAAACGCCCATAATCCGGATTTCTTTTCAGCCATTTTTATAAAATTCACCAATAATAAAAAATGCTTAATAAATATATTGTTCTTAAATTATGCGCTTTATAGCTGCATCATCGTCATATACTATTATATATAAGTGCACAATTTCTTGTAAACAAAGATCAGCTTATAATTTATGCATAACCCATGTTATAGCACAAAGAAAATTGTCCAGCTCAGCTCACAATTAGTGATGTTGTTATTATGTGCCATGTAAGCCTAGCCTAACCTTTAACATACCATGTTCTAAATTATATATATTATATAGCTATATCATCCGTAATATACAATTATGTAGTATATATCACGTGCACAAGTTCTTTTGCACAAAGATCAGCTTATAATTTATGCATAACCCATGTTATAGCACAAAGAAAATTGTCCAGCTCACTTCACAATTAGTGATGTTGTTATTATGTGTCATGTATGCTTAGCCTTTAACTTATTGACATAAAATTAATTGAATTCAATAAAATTTTTTTTCAATTTATAAAATTTTTAAATGTTGATAGACGCTTAAATCCGGCCCTAAATCCGGCCGGGGCCGGATTTGAAAAAAAGGCCGGATTTTGGCCGGGGCCGAACTTCGGTGCATCCCTAAACACAACTAACACAATAGGAATTTTACCGATTTAATATAAATTAAATCTTGTAAACATAAATGTTTTTATTGTGTTCATAAAATTAAAATAAAAGAATGGCTACGTTAATGTTGGTAATAGCAAGTCTAACTTTAATGAAAATATCAGCTAAAATACTTCGAGAACGACCGAAGAAAAATTAACAATTTTAACTTTAGTTTCGGTCGGTTAACAACACGATTCTTTTATTCATTTTCATTATTTTATCGCGCATGTAATTTCACATTATGCACTCTATTATTTTACAGGTTGTTGGGTGTCGATTAAAAACTTGCCCTTAATTTCATAAATGAGATCCTTATACTTCCTGAAAATTTTCGCTCTAGTTTTCAATTTCAAAAAATATCAACATAAATAAACATATTTTAAAAAACATTTTAAATTAGCTTAACTTATTTTTTGGTTATTATTGTTTTGTGCCTTTTTATTTTCTAAGAAATAACGGAAGATTATTTATGTAATTTTTTACATGATTTTTTGACATTTTTAAAATTTTTTGGTACTCAAATTTTAACGAAAGTACTAAAAGGAGCAAACTTAGCCCAGTTTTTTCTGAATTCGTAAAGTTGTAAAAAAAAATAAAATAAAAGTCGTAAAAATTTTTTTAATTAGTTTAACCAAGGCTCGATTCTCAGTCCACTATTATTTATAACTGTGATGGAAGAAATCACAAAACCGATACGCACTGGTGATATTTGGAATCTAATATATGCTGATGATATCGTTATAACAGCCACGTCTGAGCAGAATGCAGCACAGATGTTTGAAGATTGAAACACCAGACTCACCAATCATGGATTCAAAGTCAATATTAGCAAAACCAAAGCAGTGAACACTGGTGAACCCATCCAATCCACAGCTACTGGACGATGGCCCTCTTCAGTTTGTAAAGCAGGTGTAGGTAACAATTCAAACAAGTGTCAGCAGTGTAACCAGTGGTGTCACAAACATTGTTCAAAAATAATTGGTACTTTATCTAAAGTGTCCAATTTTGTTTGTCCTGCTTGCATCAATCCACAACAACAAATTCGAAATAGCAATGTTTTTGAAGCCATTAAGGTAGAGAAGGTCACATCGTTTCAATATCTAGGGGATGTTCTGGATTGTACTGGAACAGCTGAGGCTGCCGTTCGAGCACGCATACGTGCAACCTGAATTAAATGGCATCTTCTTGCCTCTATATTGATGCGGCGTGACATACCACTACCACTACGATTAAGACTTTATAAATCTGTGATACGTCGGGTGTTGTATTATGGTGCAGAAAAAGGGCCAATGACAACCAAACTGGAACAACAACTTCAACGAACCGAAATGAAAATGCTCCGATGGATGCAACGAATTAGTCTGAAGGACCACATCAAATCTACCGAAATTCTGCGTCGTGCTGGTGTAGATGATATAAAGGACGAATGCCGGCAACACCGTCTGCGGTGGTTTGGTCATGTCAAACGAAGTGGAAACAGTGCCATAACTTCTTTTGCAGATGTTGAAGTACCTAGCATACGTCCTAAAGGCCGACCAAAGAAATGTTTGTCGCAAACAATCGAGCATAACATGAAAGCTCTAAATTTAAATGAAATGGATAAAACTGATCGCCTAATTTTGCGCAAAAATTTGATGGCAAAGAAAACAACGTCCTACCTCGGGAGAACTGGGTCTCTGGACGCTAAACGATGATTGATTGATTGATTTTAATTATTCTATACCTAATATACTATCTCAGAATCAGTGGTGGTTATATATTTAAGTTTGGAATGTTAAAATGTCAAAAAACTATAAAAACAGAATGTAGACAAAGAAATACATTTTGAAAATTTTTGAATATCACTATTCAATTTGACATTTTTCCCTAACGGATATAATGCGTGATCAAAAACCTGAATTTATTACATATATCTTAATAATCAAAATTGATTGATTTATTGATTAATAATCAAAATACGTCCAGATGAATCAAATCGTTATTCTCTCCAATTTATTTCTCAGAACTATCAACAAAATAACCAATCAGCACATTCAAACACAGTTATTTCAAAAACACTTCAGTCATCACACCATCACATTTCTACAATAGGTCAATGGACAATCCTTATTGAGAATTGTGGCACGATCAAAACGTTTAGTGACATGCAACCTGTTATAAAACTATTGTGCATTCATGTCTATTACACATACGTAGACAATTGCGCAATTCTGGTTTCTAAGACGTGACTCAGGTTTTGTCTACGAAATATGTTTGTACACATCATAGATTTTAACAAGTTTCTTGATACAGCAACCGGGTTAATGTTTGTTTTTGTGTTTTTTTCAGACAATCAAATTGGTGCACAACAATTTACTGCAAGACCGCTTGGTTTCTGTTCATCAACTACAATTGACAAAATTTAAAAGTTTCGCAGGCGCATCATCCGTGCCCAAAAAAACTTAATGTTAACCATTCCCAATTGCATGGCTGCATTTTAAAAGGTTTTAATGATCTCTAGTCTATAGGAGACAACTTGTAGTTGACCCGATAGATGTAACATCATGAAGTGTTTTCAGTGGTTCAAAGACACTTGAAATCCAATGGAGAAAGGCCTGTACAATTATTTCAGAGAGGTTAGACACGCCCAGTTTATTCGCTATTAAATGGTCCAGGAGATACAAGCATCTAGTACTACATATCTGTCCTACAAAAAGACAACACAATAAGCACAAGCATTACATTTTACCATATTTTCCAACTAGTTTATAAATAATCATTTGAATAGAAAACTAACATATTTTCTAATTTCCCTGACCAATGTAAAGAAAGCATCATCAACTCCTTGACGAGTTTTTGCAGATGTCTCAACGTATGGAATACAGTATGAGTCTGCTTTGTCTTTTGCAGACTTAGTATCTACAGTTCTTGACGATAGATCAACTTTGTTACCTACCACTGAATGAAAAAAAATAATAAAGTTAAAAACCCTTTGGTAAGCGTGACGAAAACTGAACAACGATTGGAATCATTTAATGTGTAGAGCTTAATTGTGACTAATTAAAATTTTTTTCTTTCGTTAATCGCTTTCACTTTGTCCATAAACACAAAATTAATTAAATATGAATATGAAATAAAATAAAATATGAAATAAGATTAGATTTGCTTAAGTTTTATCACATACATTATAACTTTAAAATAAAGAATTGTAGAAATTTGTGAATTATGATGGAGAAGTTCCTATGAAAGATTTCAGCAAGCCTGTTATAAATTTTACTCGTTCTTTGTGTTGTCAACTTCTACATCCTCTCTGTTCCTGAGTAGCCAGTTTCTGCTTTTTGCACCTGCTAATTTCCAATTTGAACTTTAGCAGCATCACTATCTTTTAATTTTGATAACTAGAGCTTAGACTTTTAATTCAGCTTTTCTCGCAAGTAAATTTGAAAACAATTTCGCATGCCCGTCCACGACCATTTTTTTGTCTTCGAGGTCCATATTACCAGAACGAAATTTTTGTGTAGTACGCTCAGAAGCACTGACGTCTTTCCAATGCTTTCACCATATTACGAGTTGCTCCAGCAACGTTATGCCTGAGTTCAAACTTATGAAGCAAAATTATTTAAACATAACGCTTTTTCATTTTTAAATATTGCTGAAAAACCAAAACAGTGGAATCAATCAATCTTCGTTTTGCGTTCAGAGACCCGGTTTCCCGAGGTAGGACGTTGTTTTCTTTGCCATCAACTTTTTGCGCCAAATTAGACGATCAGTTGTATCCATTTCATTTAAATTTAGAGCTTTCATGTCTTGCTCGATTGTTTGCGACCAGGATTTCTTTGGACGGCCTTTGGGACGTGTGCCAGGTACTTCAACATCTGCAAAAAAAGTTATGGCACTGTTTCCACTTCGTTTGACACGACCAAACCACCGCAGACGGTGTTGCCGGCATTCATTCTTGATATCATCTAAGCCAGAACGACGCAGGATTTTGGTAGATTTGACGTGGTCCTTCAGACTAATTGATTCCCTCTATCGGAGCATTTTCATAAAGTTGTGCTTCAGTTTGGTTGTTATTGGTTGTCATTGGCCATGTTTCTGCACCATATAAGAGACTTTATAAATCACAGTTTTGAGTAATTACTTTGTGTACTATAAAACAATGACAGTGATAAGAAGTCTATTATATCTGAATGCTAGTCTACTTAAAATTATTTGTTGTATAACACCATTATTACACTAGCTCAAGACATTCCTTAGAAATTTTAATTAACTTATTTAAATTCTTCTTTAATAAGAGATTTATTTAATGGTAAGGAAAAGAAAAGGAAATGTCGAGTTAGTGCTTGCCAAAACTTTTACAGTATTGTACTAAAAATTGAGTTAACTTAAAACGGACAAGTGAAAAAAACTATTAAAAGAAAAAATACTCACAAACCATCGGGACTTCATCTGCATCTTTAACTCTTTTGATCTGCATATTTGTATTTATAAACAAATCTGATTTCAATGATACCAAAATGTTAAAAAATAAATTTTTAGTATAAAACTGAATCAATAAAATAGATCAACGTTAAGTATAAAAAAAATCACTTTTGCAATCATTGTACAAAAATGTAATGAGATGGTAAGTGTATGAAAAAAACCGTAATTGAATAGATATTATGAATCACATTAAAAACGGAATGCCATACACTAATACTATATATCATATAAAACTGTATAAGAACGCAATTAGACACAATAAAATTCATGATAATGCAAGCCATCACTGAAGAAATATCAGAAGAGGAAATGATGAGCAGTTAATCAAATTAAAATATTTATTTGTCAGATAACAGCAAATTGCTGAAAAATAAAAGATTCTACACAACCAAATGGCTGTAAAGATTATTCTATAAAATCTGGAACAAAGAGGTTGTACTAAGATGATTGGAAAAAACTATTATATCGATACGCAAGAAGAAAGAAATGTGTGCGACAATACTGGGCATCCCATGAATTTTTCTAAATGGCATGAAAAAAATCTGATAAGAAAATCTGTGACTTCAGAAAAGGAAATTTGCATTGATCAAATTCTCATGTTGAGATAGTGGAGAAAAAAAAACGCAATTCGACAAAATGCATTCATTTGTGTTGTAGACTCTGCGCAGGCATAGTAGGGGCATAGGAATTTTATACTTCAGGCAAATTTTGAAAAACAAATAACATCCATTACAAAATATTAAAACTATCAAATCAATCTTCGTTTAGCGTCCAGAGATCCAGTTCTCCCGAGGTAGGACGTTGTTTTCTTTGCCAACTTTTGCGCCAAATTAGACGATCAGTGGTATCCATTTCATTTAAATTTAGAGCTTTCATGTCTTGCTCGATTGTTTGCGACCAGGACTTTTTTGGACGGCCTTTGGGACGTGTGCCAGGTACTTCAACATCTGCAAAAAAAGTTATGGCACTGTTTCCACTTTGTTTGACATGACCAAACCACCGCAGACGGTGTTGCCGGCATTCGTCCTTTATATCATCTAAACAAGCACTTTCGGCAAAAAGGACAGATGCTGCTGACCTGAGCGGAGTTGGGCCAGCGTTCTTCTCATCGTTTTAGGCAAACTCTCTTCTGCCTTGTTTATTTTTGGTGTCGGAGGAGGCCAACCGTTGGCTCTGGAGCAACGGCCTTCCCGCGGTGGAGCCGATTGGGGAAAAACTGTTGAGTCATCGATGAACTACCTCAACAAACCGTTGCAACTCACCCTTCCTGTCAGGACATTTGAATGCCATTAATGGAAACGCTGAAACATTAGCTAATTCCTGGAATAAACTCGCCAATAACCTCATCGCAAATGCATAATCCAACGACTCTAACTCCTCTCCTAACAACTGAATCGTGCTGTTCTTTCACTCAGCAATTTTACAATCCCACGTTCTAATAAATAATTAGTAATGGAAGCATAGAATTATTTAATGAGGATAGTTGACCGGATAGTAAAATATACAGTGTCTCCATTTATTTTAACATGTATAAAGTAGACACGCGTTAATGAATGTTTGTTACATTTGGCTACCGTGAGGACGATATCATCTGCATATATCACATTCCATACGTTATCTGAGCGTATCGGTTTGGTCATTTCTTTCATCACCGTGATGGGTTGAGTAATGATCCTTGATGGGCGCCGTTAATGTCAAATTCATTCGTGTTAGCGGCTGTTGTACTGACCAGAGTTTTTGTGTTAGAGTACGTTGCCATAACCAGCCGAACCAGATATTCTGGAACAAGCTGTCTGCGTAGACTCCACCCGATCTACACCACATCTTCTACGCTCATAGACAATATATTTTGCAATCATCCAGTTGATTACACATCTGGTGTAATTCAAACCGATTTCTCTGACCATTTCCCAATATTCACTACTTTTTTATTAAAGCCACAATTTTTCATTAGCTAATCTTGCAATCGTTAAGGATTTTTTGGCGGGTTATGACTGGAGCTCTATTTCAAAGATCGACGATGTAGATGTCGAATTTGTTTTTTTCCACAATATTCTAAACCACGCATTTGATTATTTTTGTCCATCAGTCGTTTTGGCAATCATGTAAAATTAAAACAACCTTGGATAACTTCTCGTATATTAAATCTTTCTAAAATAAAAAAATAAAATGTATAAAAAATATATTAGATACCATTCTTTTGAGAATAAAAATATATATCTTTACCATAAAAAAATACTATACACTAAAAGTTATAGACTTTGATTAAAACATCTCTTAAGCCACATAATAAACTACGCATTAAAGACGATTTCACTAACGACTTGATTACTGACGAAAAGGTTGTTTGTAATAAACACAAACCTAATGAACTTTGACATATTCACTGGCGGTAATATTATTAATAAGGTTCATTCGATAAAATTTGTAGGCGTCACTATAAAGCTCTAATTTATCATGGTAAGACTACATAACGTATATATCTTTAAAAATCACGAAAACGTTAAAAATTTTAAATAAATTAAAAACATATATCCTTTTGTTGTAACTAAAATGCTTTACTATTCATTAATATACCCTTACTTGATATATTGCTTACCTATTTGGGGCAACAGTACAGTAAGTGTCGTCACTTATCATTAATAGTTAAATGTCAGAGATATTTTCTGAGAATTCTCCATAACCTAAAAAAATTTGACCATGTTTCTCATTTGTTTGATCTGAGCAAAACACTTATAATTACTACTTTATATAAACTTTATTTACTTATATTTTTTTTATAATATATATATAAATAATATTTCGCTCAATGCTAAAAAAGTCATTTTGAGTTTTAAATCTAACATCCACTTTACCCACCTTCATTATCTTCGACGCATCCGTAAGCTCCTCAGCTGTGATGCCCTGAATCGGTCCTTCCACCGGAAGTGCATCAAAGTCCACCTCAATAGGGTTTGTTTCATTTAATAACTTATCGAAGTAATCTTTCCAGTGATCTTTCATTTAATTCTGCAAGGTTATTATGGTGCCTTCATTATTCTTTATGCATGTGGCAACAACTATTTCCTTTTTCAGTCTTTTGGCCTGATTTGCTATTCAGTAGAGTGACCGAATTTGTTCGCCTTTACTTTCAGTTAGCCATGCCTTGCATTGATTTGCACGAGCTATCGCAACCTGACATTTCGCTTCTGTGTTCTTTGATCGGTATGTCTTTCGATTTTTATCAGTCTTCGTCTTCTGCCATTGTTTGAAAGCTGCTTTCTTACTGGCAATAGCATTTTGCACCGTTTCTTTCTACCACCAAGTTTTGCTGTTGTGCTGGCGTTTTGGTCCAGATTTTCCACATACAGCTGTTGCAGCGTTCTTTAGGGTGTCCTGAAAAGATTTCCATGTCATGTCTACCTTCTCCAGCTGTGCCGATACCAACCTCGAAATTCTTTCTAAACATGGGGTTCTTCAGTTTCCATGTCTTTAGTCTAGCGGGCATTCGATCTTCATTCTAGTGGCCGATATGATCGTTGATATGATCGTTCCACGATCATATCAACGAGAGTTCATGACTTTCAGCAAATTCCAGAATCCGTACACCGTCTTCGTTTTGAGACCCGTAGCCAAAGCCTCCATGGACACCGTAAAAACATTTGCCTTATCTCCATAACGCGAAATTTATATGTCCAATATCCAGCTCCGGCCGAATATCAGTTTTTACTATCCGGCTATATCCAGCTCCCGGCTGGTTATCAAAAAGCACTATCCGGTGCAACCCTAATTTTATTAATCCATTAAATTTTAAAAAGATATTTATTAAAAGATAATTATTAAAAAAATATTTAAAGCAGTTTGCATAAAAAGGTAAAAATTTCTGACATAACCAAGAAAAATTTGACTAATAAAATAATCTAAACATCTTTAAAAAAAGAATTGTTGAAAAGAGCAAAAGATCAGTTAGTTAAACAATAGTCAATTAAAAACTGAAACTATGTACAAAAATAGTAGCTAAGGAAAACCAACTAATAAAAAAAATGAAAATTACGCTCGTAATTTTTGAAAAAACCTAACCTGTTCTCTGTATTGGTTTATATCTTCAAAAGATTTACAATTATTAACAGCAAATATGCATAGAAAACCTTCCCCTGTCCTCATATACTGGTCCCGCATAGCACTGTAAATATGAGATAAATACAAAAAACTTTTAAAATAAACTTTTAAAATAAACTTTTAAAAAACAAGAGAAGAGTATTGGTGCTTAATGATCGGAAAAAAATCAAGTTTGTTAAATTTGTCCAAACGTCTTTATGACTTCACCACAGATGTTTCAACTTGTCCCAAAATGCGGAGTTGCTGATTTTTAGATTAATAAACAAAATTTTGAAAGAACCAACATTATTTCAGGCTAACCATTACGGTGTTATTTCATAAAATAACTGAACGATCATTAATTGAAAACAAACATGATTCTTTCAATGTATTTTTTTAATTTTTTGTGATAATAATCATGACATGCAATTGTAAATAGTTAATAAAAAATTTGTAAAATATCTCTATGATGTTGATAATGTGAAGAATGTAAATAGTAAATAAAATATTACAAAAATAAAATTGTTGGCTGTTAAATGTGATGTATGCACTGCACATGCACAACGCACATTGTACAACACATGCATTGTAGAACGATCGTCTCCGCTGGTCCGTTGCTAAGGCATGTTGACCGTCCTGGTATATAGATGTCCATGACATGTATGTAAAAGTATATTTCTAATCATTGATCCATGAGCGAATTGCATATATGCAAAGTGATTTGAAGAACTACGATTGCATTGCTTGAACCATCTGACTAATGTTATTATCTTGATTATCTTATCACCAACCACTATCATTGAGAAATTTTTTTACAAGATGTGTTAACATGTGTGGTGCTTGCATAATCGCACATGTTTTCATTATATACGTATGTTTTAATCATAGATGTCTCGATGTAGTAACAGCCTCTAGATACGAAAGTCCTAACACACGCATATCATAACTTGAGCATAGTAGGCCATGGCATTAAGCTATCGCTTTGTTAAACTATCTTTGCCTATACTATTTTTGTTCATTTGTGTTATACGTTGTTTTATAATGCTGTTTACTATCTTTGTTTATTTGTGTTACACGTTGTTTTATAATGCAGTTGAGTTTTGATTATTGTTCATTTATTGAAAACTTTTGTATCGTTAATTGTTAATTTTCTTCTTTTTAAATAATTTTACATTGTATTTAATATTTTGTTTGTAATTATATATAAATCAGCTTACAGATGTAAAAGTGGATATAAATCAAAAGCAGCAAATGACGAGAAAAACGACGCATCGTTTCACGCCTATTCATTAAAAAATCCTAAATTGTGCGCTACATGGGCACGTGCTAATCCTTGTAAAGATTATGTTCCAAACAAACATTCCGAAATTTTTTCACTCCACTTTGATCAATCAGATTTCGTAACATGTTTTTCTGATTGGTATTAAGGAAAATTGAACAGAACTGTGGGGATTGTCAGGACTGTTACGGAAAGGCAAAGAAGAAAGTTAAAAGAAGATGCAGTACCATCCAAATTACAGAATGCACCTTCATATTTGTCCATTCCAACGCAACAACCTCGATCGACAACAAAATCATTATCTACTTATACCTCTCCTATTTCTAATATCATTGAAACTTTTGGTTAACTCTTTCATCAATACGCCAGCGACACATGTATAATAGCTAAAATTCCCACCTCTAATCACATATCTCAACATGACAACTTAAATGCATGTACTATGACCATAAACGATTGGCATTTATCAAACTTTCTTTAGCTAAATCCCCACAAATCTGAAGTAATGTTCCTTGGCACACCGCAACCGCTTATCAAATGTTCCCCCCATCACACGTTTTACTGGCTTATTCTTCTCTCTCCTCAACCTCTAAACTTACATTTTTAGGCTTAACTTTCGACTCTTCTCTATCATGTAATTCTCATGTCTTAGCTTTGATCAAATCTTGTAATTATTATACGTGGACTAATCGTCAAATTCGTAAATTTCTCAGCGAAGATATTGCTTTTGCACTGGCTCGATGTTTATTGTAATTCTCTTCTCTACGGTCTTCCTTTCTACCTTTTAACTTTACAACAAAGTTCAAAATAGAGTTGCAAAAGTTGTTTTTAACATCAGTAATTTATCTTCCAGCACAGATTCACTCATTCAACTACATTGGTTACCAGTACGTCAACGAGAGGTGGACATAGGAACGGGAAATAGAGAATTGCCATGTTTCCCATGGGAATTCCCGTGGGGGGAATGGAAGTTAATTTTTTTGGGTAAAATATTTTTTAGGGAATAGGGAAACGGGATTGATTAGATGGGAATGACTAGCGAGAATGGAATTTTTTTTTCCGAATGCTAAAATTTGTATTATTATCCACTTTCGTTTCCATGTTTTTGAAAGATTAAAATGAACTTCCTTTCATTTTACGATTTTCCTGTCTTTTAGAGTTGTATGATTCAGCTGATCGCATCGACGTGGTTATTTGTATTTTGATTGTGAAAAATAACTGTTGTAAAAATATAACTTCAAAAATTGATATCCAACTTCTTATAAATGAAAAAAAGTGATCGACTGAATTTTCATGTTGCTAAAGGTTGGTTGCATTCGTATTGTTATTTATTTTATATTTACAAATCTGGTGTTTCTAGCTATAACTGTGTGTAAAAGTAAATGTATTGTAAAAGATGTGCGTTTAGTGTAGCAAATAATAAATAAACAAATAAATTAATTAATCAATAAATATATATATATTCATTTGTAAAATATTTAAATTATTTGTAAAAAAAATTAAATTGTAGTGAATAACTTTTTTTGAAATAATTCGGCCAATATTTAATTTTTATTTAACAGGTTAAAGTTAAAAATTGTATTCTCAGACTAAATAAATGTTTTCTATGCCATCAATTTTTTGCGCCAAATTAGACGATCAGTTGTATCCATTTCATTTAAATTTAGAGCTTTCATGTCTTGCTCGATTGTTTGCAACCAGGACTTCTTTGGACGGCCTTTGGGACGTGTGCCAGGTACTTCAACATCTGCAAGAGAAGTTATGGCACTGTTTCCACTTCGTTTGACATGACCAAACCACCGCAGAAGGTGTTGCCGGCATTCGTCCTTTATATCATCTAAACCAGAACGACGCAGGATTTCGGTAGATTTGATGTGGTCCTTCAGACTAATTCGTTGCATCCATCGTAGCATTTTCATGTCGGTTCGTTGAAGTTGTTGTTCCAGTTTGGTTGTCATTGGCCATGTTTCTGCACCATATAACAACACCGGACGTATTACAGATTTATAAAGTCTTGATAGTAGTGGTAGTGGGATGTCAGGCCGCATCAATATAGAGGCAAGGAGACACCATTTATTCCAGGCTGCACGTATGCGTGCTCGAACGACAGCTTCAGCTGCTCCAGTACAATCCAAAACATCATTTAGATATTGAAACGACGTGACTTTCTCTACCTTAATGGCTTCAAAAACATTGCTATTTCGAATTTGTTGTTGTGGATTGATGCAAACGAGACAAACAAAATTGGACACTTTATATGAAGTACCAATTATTTTTGACACTTGATTGAATTGTTACCTACACCTGCTTTACAAACTGAACAGGGTTCTCGTCCAGTAGCTGCGGATTGGATGGGTTCACCAGTGTTCATTGCTTTGGTTTTGCTGATGTTGACTTTGAATCTATGATCGGCGAGTCTGGTGTTCAAATTTTCAAATACCTGTGCTGCATTCTGCTCAGACGCGGCTGTTAGAACGATATCGTCAGCATATATTAGATTCCAAATGTAACCAGTGCGTATCGGTTTTGTGATTTCTTCCATCACAGTTATAAATAACAGTGAAATGAGAATCGAGCTTTGGTGAACTCCAACGCCGATATCAAATGCATCGGCGTTTCCAACCGCTGTGCTGACAAGAGTCTTAGTATTCGTATACATTTCCATCACAAGTTGAACAAGATATTCTGGAATGAGTTGTCGACGTAGACTCCACATGATTGTTTTACGGGGAACTCGATCAAATTCTTTTTCAAGACTTTGCGAGGTACTTCTCTTGCAGTTGCCGGAGGTGTGAATTGTATAAATTGTTGATTTCTCTGCTCGGAAACCAAATTGATATTTTCCGATTGTGATGCACGACGTTAATCTTCTCTCAATGATTTTTTCGACAATATTCATTGAGTGTTCTAACAGACGTATATCCCGATATGATGAACAGTTCAATGGATCACCTTTGCCTTTGTATAGCGGTACTATCATGCTATAGTTCCATTCAGTCGGCATTGAGCAATTTTTCCACACTTCACAGCAAAGTTGTAGTAACGTTTTGATACCTGCAGTACCAGATGCTTTGATAATGTAATTTGTGAGTCCATAGGGCCATGCTGCCTTTCCATCCTTCATGGCTTTCAGAGCTTCTGTAAGCTCCTCTACAGTGATGTCTGGAATCGATGGGTGGAGCGTCAAAGTTGACATTGATGGGATTTGTTTCCTTTTACAAACGGTTGAAGTATTCTCTCCACTGTAGCTTGATCTAATCTTGTTCAAGAACCATCTCATTTTTTGTCGTTTTTGATACATGAAGCACCAACTATGTCTTTTTCGTACGTTTTGCTTGTTTTGCTATACGATACAAAGATTTCATTTGTTCACCTTTGCTTTTAGTGGGCCACTCTCTGCACTGATCTGTCCGAGCCAGTGCGACTTGACGTCTTGCATAGTTGTTCTTCTCATAAAAAATTTTTTGGTCATCAACAGACTTTGATTTTTGCCATTGCTTGTATTTCAGCTTTCATGCAGCTCTAAAGTCTGTTGGACTTTTTGAAAATTTTAAAGATGCCTTTGAGTTGGTTTGTAACTTTGCATTTATTTGTGCCCTTGCTTCACCGTTGTTTTTCTTTGTGATTGCATGAGAGTAATTTGGGGAAAAGTTTTTGAATAATTTTAAAGATGCCTCTGAGTTGGTTTGTGCTGATAGCAAACTAACTTAGCATTTATTTGTGCCCTTGCTTCATCGTCTCGATCACTTATGTAATAATTGCAATGATGGTGATGAACCTATTCAGTGTTTGAAAGCACATGAAAAAGTTAGACTAGATCCTCTTCATGACGTTGTAACACTTTTGAATCTAGCCATGAAAGGATTATTTTTCATACCACCCAACAGAAAAAAAACAAGCCATTGAAACACTACAAAATTTGTTAAAAGAAAGGTCGAATGGCAAAAAAGTTATGAAATTTAACAGCTTTGAACCTTTACCAAAAAAAATGTAATATTTATGGATTGCTGATTTCACAGAGATTCATGATCCAGATGAATTAACCCATAATAGAAATGAATTATCAGAATATCTCAACTTAAAAGTTGAAAAAGATACTGACCCAGTTACATTTTGGAAAGAAAAAAAACTTGTCTATCCTTTACTTTATAACGTAGTTTGTTAAATTTTATGCATACCAGCAACTTCATCTGCTAGTGAATGTGTCTTCAGCATTGCAGGTCGAATATTGGAGAAAAGAACTACATTATCAGCAAACAGTGTTAATAATTTGTTATCTTTACATAGCAACATTTAATTGTTTACTTATAACATGTTTCTTAATAAAAAATGTTGACTGCTTATTTTGGTCTTGTGTACAATTTTATAAGAAAAAATTGAAAAAACCCTAACCCTAACTCGCTGTCCTCACAAGTTACAAGTTACATAATAAATCTCAGCCATCATATCTTCATCAACTTATGTCACGTCGTTCATCAACTTGTCAACTTCGTTCATCTTCATATACTCAGTTGAATCAACCTGCCAGCAATTCGTCGGTTGTCAACAAATGTTTTACGTACAGTTCTCCTTCCATAAGGAATGGTTTGCCCACCTTTTTCGTCAACAACCAACCATCAAACTTTTTAGAAAACGATTGAAAAACTTTTTGTTTATCCAGGCCTACGGAAACGTCAAAAATCATTGTTAATCCAAGAGTCCCTGAAGCTATGCATAGGACGCGATATAAATTAATAATAATAATAGTAATAATAATAATAAAATGTTCTATGTCAATTCAACATAATGAAAAAAGTACCGTTTAAATACTCGTAAAAATATAACAGTAAAAAATCTAAAAAAAAATCTTCTGCTCAGCCAGACAACCTTCTCTGTGATTTCTTTAGTAATTAAAATAAATCTATCAAAATTGGTTAAAATTAGTTTTGAAAATGGTTGTGATTTCAAAGATAACTTTTTATAATTTTTTTTCAGTGGCTTGCATTAAATATTTCTTTAATTTGTTATTCTTTGAATTCAATTTAAGTAGCAAATAATGTGTATCAGTAAATTTTGTTTTACTAAAATTTTAAATGGCGGCGTTTGCATAGCACTAATCCATCCAGAGTGCAAAAAATTTCTGTGCCTAAAAATACTGCAATCATAAATGGCGCGTGTGCAAATGTTTCTGTATTTGTAAAAAATAAAAGAGCACATTGAAAAGACTTATGAAAATGAAAACAATTAACCAATATGGAAATTATGAGGACTGATAAGAAGGGTAAAATCCCGAAATCTCGGACCGTGCTTTGATAAATATGCCTCAACAATTGAGTTATATCTATGATAAACCACAAAACTACATTATAAATTATAGAAAACTATATCATGATGTCCATTTGTTAAAACATTAAACTATTCCTAATTGCTTAACTACAAACACATATGAAAAGCAAAAATTAAAATTTGAACCTGTATTCTTCCTGGCCAGCTGTGTCCAATATATCTAATAAACATGTTTCCCCATCAATAACAACTTGTTTTCTATAAGAATCCTCTGGATAAAATAAATTTTATTAAAAAAAAGAATGGCTTGAAACTTTTCAACAAGTTTCACTGATCAGTAAATGTTGTATAATTTTCAATGATGCTATTAGCAAGAACCTTTGAATAAATCATGAAAAAATTTGATAACCAACCTATTGTAGGATCATATTCTTCTACAAAGCTGAAAAATTACATAATAGATCAGAAATTTTTAACGCAAATCTATTTTAAGTTATGTATGTAAGTCAGCAAAAAATATTTAAAAGCACTAACTGGTTTTGAATAAGTTGAATTGTCAATGCACTTTTGCCAACACCACCAGCTGATAATAGTAAAATTTATGAAAAAATTTATAAATAATCGTAAAATTTATAAAATAAAGAAATAAATTGAATACTTTTACATAACTTAAATAAAATTAATTTTCCAAAAATTCTCGTATGTATTATGTATGTATACAACTAAAATAAAAGACATTATATTATTTTTGTATTTTGATTAATTCTTATTTTTAACGCAACTTCCTAATACTTGTGAATATGTGCATAATGTTCCGACTTGTGTGTTTAAGCCGGTATGCATGCACTTTTTTGGACATGTGTTTGTATGTGTGTGTATGAAACATATATATATATATATATATATATATATATATATAAAACTTTTTATTATTATTATCCATCCACTAGTAATTTATTTGAATTGAATTTCTTAGTACCGATATAAGATTTTACCCTTACTATTTAATTTATCGTTTAATTTTAATTTTTATAGCATACAAAAAAAAATTATGTGACTTATTATATTATTCAGTATATTAAAATTAAGTCAATGTAATATTAATATTCTTAGATTGGCAACCACTCAGTCTTAAACCAAAATTAATAATTATTAATAACAGAAACTAAATTCTAACTAAAAGAAGCAAAATCAGAGTTAGTTTGACTGTTAGAGCAAAGCAAAAAATATGAATTTTAGAAAAACTGATGAGTTTGATTAAAAAATCAGAGTTAGAGCAAAGCAGAGTGGTATCAGCAGCAAAAAATATGATTTTTAAAAAAATTGATGTGTTTAATCAATGTTAATCAAAAAATTAATATTAATTAATCGAGTTATTAATCGAGTTATTAATTAGTTATTAATTATTTAAAAAAACCACGGTGATTTTATTAGCCAAATTTTTATTTTAAGAACTTAAGTACACGTCCAGCAAGCAGCTAGCATGATCTCAAAACATAATATCAAACACTAAATTCACCTCCAACCACAACGAGCTTGTACTCCGTCATCCTTCAGAAAAGAAATCCAATATGGCAGCGGGCTGGCAAATTTATTTATAAACATGTGTTTGAAGATGTCAACGCGACGAAAAACAAATAAGATGCGTGAAGAATTCAACGAATCAATCAATTTAATTCAAATTTAAGTAATATATATATATATATATATATACACATATATAAATAAATAATATAATAATAATAATATTGTAAAAATTATGGTCTATTACCAACAAATATATATATATATACACCGAAAAAAGCTTTTTCTTTGCAATTAGGTTATTTTAATTCTATTAGTTTTAATTTAATATATTTTATTAATTTATTTTTATTTTAATAATATGTTTTATTTTTAAAATAATATTAATAAAATAAAAATAAAAAAACATTTTAACATATAAAAAATTTAATAATTAGGTGTACAACCTATAAGCCCAAATCCCAAAAAATTAGTTAATGAAATGAAAGCATAAATAATTCAAGTTATAATAAAAGTAATACACAGACAGACACACTCTCACACGTCTCAAGCATCCACACTCATACCCACATGCCAGCCTAAATATCAATCAAACTGGATAATTTGAACGCCATTCGTACGTCCTCAAACTCAATAGTGAACTTGTCAAACAGAACTTTAAATTAATTTACGGATTTTCCTTTGGTAAAGAATCCCATATGGATATAGTTCTATTGACAAATGCATATTTATTCATGTTTGTTCTAACCTTATTTCAATCAATCAATCAATCAATCAATCAATCAATCAATCAATCAATCAATCAATCAATCAATCAATCAATCAATCAATCAATCAATCAATCAATCAATCAATCAATCAATCAATCAATCAATCAATCAATCAATCAATCAATCAATCAATCAATCAATCAATCAATCAATCAATCAATCAATCAATCAATCAATCAATCAATCAATCAATCAATCAATCAATCAATCAATCAATCAATCAATCAATCAATCAATCAATCAATCAATCAATCAATCAATCAATCAATCAATCAATCAATCAATCAATCAATCAATCAATCAATCAATCAATCAATCAATCAATCAATCAATCAATCAATCAATCAATCAATCAATCAATCAATCAATCAATCAATCAATCAATCAATCAATCAATCAATCAATCAATCAATCAATCAATCGTTTTAATTTTTTATCGTGTCCTCTAGTTATCAAATACTATTTAAGTTATTATTCAAAGTATTAAACTAAGTAATCAAATCTTCTCTGATTCTACAAACCCTTAGTGTGGATAAATTTAAAAACCTCAGCCTTTCATTGTATTTCATTTTACGATATTCACAAAACGGTTTAATAACTCTTTTCTGAACTTTCAATCTAATTTAGATCTAACCATAGATTTATATAAAGTCAAAAATGAAAATTTATCTAAACCAAAAAAATAAGATTGAATTAAACCTAAGAATACTATCTACATGCTTATCAAATCTCATTCTATCATACGTAACACCGAGATTCTTAATAGATTTAACTTTATTCAACAAACACTTTCCTATTTTATAACCAAAAAAGAAAATTTTTATTTTTACCTAAAGACATCCATACACATCTATCCGCATTCAAAAACCTCATAGTTCTCCCCACACCAACTAACCAAATTGTCCAAAACCAACTGCAAAATTCCCTATCAATCTCTAATTTCACAAAGCTAAATATTTTTGCATCATCTGCAAAGAAAAATAAATTTAACATCATTATTCTGGTTACATTATTCTATTTTTCTTTTAACTTTAACCGGCTGGTACGCCTCTCTCGAATGTGCTGGCCCCAACACACTTCCTTGCGGAACACCACATTCATCCATTTCAACTCAAGTCACATTCATCCATTCAGAACACACCCAATTAACACAATATTTTTTATCTTTTAAGTAATCATTTAATCACATCCTAAGTTTTTAATTAACTTAACATATGAAATTTTGTCAAATGCTTTTTAAAAATCAGTAAATATTATATCCACACCATCCCCATCATCCAAAGATCCCTAGCACGAAGGAGGTTCAACGGGTTACCCGGTCCTTGCGGACCATGAGCAAGGACACGCTGATTCTTTCAGTTTAGCGCGCGTGCGGCCCCGAACATCTAAGGGCATCACAGACCTGTTACTGCTCGATCTCGTGCGACTAAACGCCGCTTGTCTCTTTCTTTTTATGAAACCATATTGAAATTGACTGAAAAAGTTATTAGCACTGAAATGATTTAAAAGAGCATCCTTTACAAAACTTTCTAGAACCTTGCAACAAATACAAGTTAAGCAAGGAAATAGGTCTGTAATGTTAATATCATAAACAATTCTTTTTTATAAACAGGGATAATTTTACTGGTCTTCCAATCATCTAAAAGAACTCCAAATTAAAAAAAAAGGAACAATTCACTCAAAAAGCTAGAAATTGCTTCAGCACATTCTACCAAAATTCTTCTACAAATATTATCTGGACTTGCTGATTTATGTATCTTTAGATGTTTTAGTTTATCACAGACAAACTCTTCCAACAGCAAAGGACGTATCCTTTCACCCTCAGTCATTACAAAATTATTTTCTAAATGTACATTTTCATTGTTACCTGTATTTGAAACAAAAACACTATTAAAAAACTTAGCAAATTCTTTGGCAATGTCAGACTCGTTTACGAAGAAAATTGCGTCACATTGTTCATCTGTCGTTGTCATATAGTCAATTGAAACCTTTAATATTTGACAATCGCTTAATATATTTTCTAAAAACTTTAGAGTTAGATTTGATTTTATCTGATAGCAATCTTATTTTAAAAACCTTTAGTTCATAGATTTTTCTTTTAATCTGGTTTTATATTGATTTAAATTTAAATTTCTTAAAACAAGAATAACCTTTGATTTAGAATATTTTTTTAGGTATTTCTTTTAAAACTTATTGAACACTTTAGTTCATCAGGAAACTTTAACTTTGGTGATTCAAAACCAAACGTAGGAACAAATATATTTGCTGACTCCAATATCACTGGTTTGAATACAATCCACAGGATATTGATTTCCTCCTGTCAATCAATCAATCTTCGTTTAGCGTCCAGAGACCCAGTTCTCCCGAGGTAGGACGTTGTTTTCTTTGCCAACTTTTTGTGCCAAATTAGACGATCAGTGGTATCCATTTCATTTAAATTTAAAGCTTTCATGTCTTGCTCGATTGTTTGCGACCAGAACTTCTTTGGACGGCCTTTGAGACGTGTGCCAGCCAGGTACTTCAACATCTGCAAAAGAAGTTATGGCACTGTTTCCACTTCGTTTGACATGACCAAACCACCGCAGACGGTGTTGCCGGCATTCGTCCTTTATATCATCTAAACAAGCACGACGCAGGATTTTGGTAGATTTGATGTGGTCCTTCAGACTAATTCGTTGCATCCATCGGAGCATTTTCATGTCGGTTCGTTGAAGTTGTTCCAGTTTGGTTGTCGATGGCCATGTTTCTGCACCATATAACAACACCAGACGTATCACAGATTTATAAAATCTTGATCGTAGTGGTAGTGGGATGTCACGCCGCATCAATATAGAGGCAAGGAGATGCCATTTATTTCAGGCTGCAGGTATGCGTGCTCGAACGGCAGCTACAGCTGTTCCAGTACAATCTAGAACATCTTCTAGATATTGAAACGATGTGACTTTCTCTACATCTGGCTTCAAAAACATTGCTATTTCGATTTTGTTGTTGTGGATTGATGCAAGCAGGACAAACAAAATTGGACACTTTAGATAAAGTACCAATTATTTTTGAACAACGTTTGTGATACCACTGGTTACACTGTTGACACTTGATTGAATTGTTACCTACACCAGCTTTACAAAACTGAAGAGGGCCATCGTCCATTAGCTGTGGATTGGATGGGTTCACTAGTGTTCATTGCTTTGGTTTTGCTGATGTTGACTTTGAATCCATGATCGGCGAGTCTGGTGTTCCAATCTTCAAACATCTGTGCTGCATTCTGCTTAGACGTGGCTGTTAAAACGATACCATCAGCATATATTAGATTTCAAATGTCACCAATGCGTATCGGTTTTGTGATTTCTTCCATCACAGTTATAAATAACAGTGGACTGAGAATCGAGCCTTGGTGAACTCCAACTCCAATGTCAAATGCATCTGTGTTTCCAACCGTTGTGCTGACGAGAGTCTTAGTATTCGTATACATTTCCATCACAAGTCAAACAGGTATTCTCGAATGAGTTGTCGACGTAGACTCTACCTGATTGCTTCACGGGGAACTCGATCAAATGCTTTTTCAAGGTCTACAAAAATGTGTGATAGTTGTTGAAGCTTTGCGAGATACTTCTCTTGCAGTTGCCAAATGATGTGACTTCCATCAATTGTTGAATTCCCCGCTAGGAAACCAAATTGATAATTTCCGATTGTAACGCACGACGTTATCTTCTCTCAAGGATTTTCTCGACAACTTTCAGGGAGTGTTCTAACAGACGTATACCCCGATATGATGAACAGTTCAATGGATCAACTTTGCCTTTGTATAGCGGAACTGTCATGCTATAGTTCCATTCAGTCGGCATTGAGCAATTTCTCCACACTTCACGGCAAAGTTGTAGTAACGTTTGGATACCTGCAGTACCAGATGTTTTGATAATGTCATTTGTGAGTCCAGAGGACCCTGCTGCCTTTCCATCTTTCATAGTTTTTGGAGCTTCTGTAAGCTCCTCTACAGTGATGTCTGGAATTGCATCTTTGATGGGTGAAGCGTCAAAGTTGACATTGATGGGATTTGTTTAATTTAACAGACGGTTGAAGTATTCTCTCCACTGTAGTTTGATCTCATCTTGTTCAAGAACCATCTCATTTTTGTCATTTTTGATACATGAGGCACCAACTATGTTTTTTTGTAAGTTTTGCTTGTTTTGCTATACGATACAGAGATTTCATTTGTTCACCTCTGCACTGATCTGTTCGAGCCAGTGCGACTTGACGTCTTGCATAGTTGTTCTTCTCACGGAAAATGTTTATGGTCATCAACAGACTTTGATTTTTGCAATTGCTTGTATGCAACTTTCTTTTCAGCTATTGCATTTTGTATACTGTCATTCCACTACCAAGTGTACCGTTCATGCTGACGTTTTGTACCAGTTTTCCCAAAAACTGGAGTTGCAGCATTTCTCAAAACGGTTTTGTATGTACTTCAATTTGTACTGGCTTGCGATTGGTGGTCTATCTGTGTGGCGACAATCTGTTGACATTTTTCTCAAAGAATATTTCTTTTCAGCTTCCACGTTTTGATTCTCCGAGGCATTTGTTTAGACTTATGTTTTGACAGTTCGACAACCAGGTCTGCCACAAGGAGTCTATGTTGGGCAACACAGGATTCGCCAAATATAATTTTGACATTTTTGAATAGCCTTCGGTGTTGTTGCTTGACAGCGAAAAAATCAATTTGCGTGGCTGATGGTCCACTTTTGTATGTTATGAGATGTTCCAACCTCTTTCTAAAATGTGTTCAGTAAACAAAACCTGTCACTTTCAGCAAACTCAAAAATGCGGTTGCCATCTTCATTTCATTCTCTATAGCCAAAACCGCCATGTACGTTATCAAAACCATCTGTTTTTTTTCCAACGTAGCCGTTGAGATTGCCTCCAATTAGGATTGTTTCAAATTTTGATATTGTTGAGATGGTGTCTGAGAACGCAGCCCAGAAGTCAGTTTTTATCTTTTCTGATTCCCCTGTTTGTGGTTCATATGCAGAAAGAATAATCATTGTTTGCTTTTCTAGGCAAAGCTTGATCCACATGAAACGTGAATTAATCCTTTTAATATCCAGTACTTTTAGAGCCAGCGGTTCTCTGACAAAAATTCCAACACCATTTTTGGCCGTCTTTTGACCATTCCAGAATAGTTTATATTTTTCTTTGTCTGAGTTAACATGACAAACACCATTCGATTTTCATCGGGTCTCCTGAAGGCAGCAGATGTCAATCCTTCTACGCTCGAGCATTTCTGCAATTTCCATGTTGCGGCCAGTCAGTGATCCAACATTGAGCGTTCCAAGTCTAAGTACCATTGAGGGGCCATTCTGAATTTTTCTGCAACACGCCTCCGCTATTGCATACTTCCCAGGGATTCTTGGCACCCCTTGATAACTTATAGCCTGCTGGAAACTAGGGGCTGTTGTTTTTCTTTGTGATGGCATAGGAATAATTTGGGGAAAGGTTTTTACATCCGGACACCCATCCTGACGACAACCACCAATTATAAGCGGTGGGCCTAGCCTTTTGCTCAAAAGCACGCAAGACAGCATGGATGCAGTTTTATGTTATATCCAGGACCATGAAAAAAAAGACGGTTAAAAAAACAGTTAAAAAAAATTTCCTCCTGTAAAACATATAAATTCAAGTTTAAAATTTTATTGTTATTTTTTCATAAATTATCATCAATGTACTTCACTATAGTCTTGTAGTTTCCTTTATCATTATTCAGTTTAGGATTATTATTGCCGAGTTAAGTTGAATTTGCTTTAACATTGAAATATATATTTCTTTTACCCAATGATTGCTTTTACCCAATGGATCGTTAACAGTAAGATCATTTATTAAAGCCACATTCTCAACCAAAATTAAATCAAGAATATTTTCCTTTTGAGCTGCTCGATATCTTGTTTATACTGTAACTAATTGAACTGTAGGGATCAAACATTCATTTATAAACTATCTCACATATAAATTATTCCTAAAGATTATTGCAATTTCAATGTTACTTAATCTATGTTAATTTTTATGTCTTTGCTTCTCTCTCGACTTCTTTCTCTTTTTTCCTGATAGCTTGTAAAACGAAACTGTTCGAGATTCACGTGGGAATAAAGATAATATTTTATTACGCCTGAATTGTGTTGTTTTATTTATTTTAACTCACAACAAGGTGTCTTGTTAGTAACATAAGTTTGTACTAACAGAACCAAACCAGATGAACTGATCATATTCAAAAATTTCTGCGCAATTGATTTATAACCCAATTTAGTTGTTTGCTTTCCCCAATCTATACTAGGAAAATTAAAATTTCCAATTAAAAACTTATTAACCCTAAATTAAAAAATCTTTCAATTACTACATTTAATAATTTATTATTAGTACAATCACTATTTGGACTTCTATAAATAATCAGACTAAGTTTAAAATCTATATAAACGCAAAATACTTTTTAAAATAAAAATTAGTTTTTAAATCAATTTTTTTGTATATCATCCCGGAATGTTTTTCCGTATTCCTTATGAATTTCATCTTTCTTGTCTCCCAATCCAATTTAAAATTTCTTCATACCTTGTAATTCTTTTGAAATATTGGCCCCACCATATATATATATATAATATGGATATAACAGACACGTTATATATATATATATAAATACATTGTTTATATATATATAACATCAAGATCAATCTAACAAATATTTGAATTAAAGTAAATTTAAATTAAAGTAAACAATCAGTTTTTAGCCGGTTGTTTAGCGATTATCGTTCTAGTTGCTTTTTTTGTCAAAATGTTTAATGTTTACGCGTTTAATTCCATCAGTCAGTCAGTCAGTCAGTCAGTCAGTCAGTCAGTCAGTCAGTCAGTCAGTCAGTCAGTCAGTCAGTCAGTCAGTCAGTCAGTCAGTCAGTCAGTCAGTCAGTCAGTCAGTCAGTCAGTCAGTCAGTCAGTCAGTCAGTCAGTCAGTCAGTCAGTCAGTCAGTCAGTCAGTCAGTCAGTCAGTCAGTCAGTCAGTCAGTCAGTCAGTCAGTCAGTCAGTCAGTCAGTCAGTCAGTCAGTCAGTCAGTCAGTCAGTCAGTCAGTCAGTCAGTCAGTCAGTCAGTCAGTCAGTCAGTCAGTCAGTCAGTCAGTCAGTCAGTCAGTCAGTCAGTCAGTCAGTCAGTCAGTCAGTCAGTCAGTCAGTCAGTCAGTCAGTAAATCAATCAAGCAATCAAGCAATCCATCAATTAGCTTGTAAAGCGCTATTTCCGCGATGTTCAACAGCGCTCCTCAATGAATTTTGCAAACAGATGGGTCTTGAGATCCGCTCTGAACTTCGTAAGGAATGGAAAAGTAGTCAGAGAAGTAGATAAAGAGTTCCAGAGAAAAGGGCCAGAAAAAGCAAAAGCAGATTTAGCAAAATGTGTTTAACACGAGTTAAGAAGAAGCAAGAACAAGAAGACAATCGTAAACCGAGGCGTTTAGGTTCAATTAATAATATCTGATAAGTACTTAGGAAATAATTTAGATTGAGACTTATACATAAATGTAAAAATTTTAAAAATTATTTTATATTTTATACGTAGCCAGTGCAAAAGAACAAGATATGGAAATATAAAAAGGGGCACGAAAAACTAGACGAGTAGCAGAGTTAAAAGCTTTACTTAAAAGATAAAAATTTTGGGTTTTGACTATCATAAATACAATTATTTATAAAGATCACTGCGTTTTTGGCATTATTCAACTTGTAGTTGAGTTTCTCAATTTTTCTAACGAGACTTTTATCATCTGGATGAAGTTTATTAAGGTTAAAAAACTTTTAATATTTGACATTTTTGACAAAACATTATAAATAACGTTATTACTACAGGAAAGCTCTTTTCGGCATCAACTGCCATCACCAGTGTTGCTATATAGTATTGTTCCGTCTTTGTGTCTTCGTTTTTACAGCGACTTTGATTGTAACTTAATTAGAATTAAAGTTAATCATGTGTTTCTTTGTTGGAAGAATATTGGTATTATTTAGTTGAATATTTATTGCTGGTTTACGTTTATCGATGAAAATTAATTTTGCTATCTTCAATTTAAAGTATTCTCTGTTGTAATAAATTGCTTTGGTGTTATTGTTTAAAATTTCCCTCGTTATAATAGTGTTGTGTTTTTCCATTAGGTGTATAAAGATCACTGCGTTTTTGGCATTATTCAACTTGTAGTTAAACCAATTGAGCCTGTGTAAGTGCACAGCAACAAGCACAAACGCCCCGGTCTTCTTGTTTTCGCTTATTCTTAACTCGTGTTAAACACTTGCTTGCTAAATCTGCTTTTGCTTTTTCCGGCTCTTTTCTCTGGAACTCTCTATCTACTTCTCTAACTACTTCTCCATCCCTTACGAAGTTCAGAGCGGATCCCAAGACCTATCTGTTTGCAAAATTCATTGAGGAGCGCTGTTGAACATTGCGGAAATACCGCTTTACAAGTTAATTGATTGATTGATTGATTAATGTCAACAATTCGGTAGAATTCATACAATACTGTATACAATATATATATATATATATATATATATATATATATATATATATATATATATTTTGTTGAAAATTGTTGCCCATTTAGCATTTATTAACTTTTTTATAATCGATTCAACAGAACGCAATTTTTCATAATCATATTTATTCAATAATTGTGTCTGTGTCATAGCTAGGCTGACAGCTGTTTCGGCAAAGATGCCATCGTCGGAGCCTTGGGTAATTAAACAAAGTATATCAAATTGTAAATGTATAAAATCAATGCGTTAAATGTAATGTCAAATTGAAACAAAATGGAATAAAAGATAAACCATGAAATTGAGAATTCAACGGTAATGAAATATATAGTGTTATAAAAAAAATAAAAATTAAATTTGTTAACTAAGAATAGTATAAAATAATTAAATTAGTTAAATAAAAATTACAAAACAGTAAATACTATAAAACAAAATTTTACAATAACGAAAATAAGAAAAGTTTAAGTGGCTATTGTACGTTTTGCAAAATTGTGTATTGTACATTCTATTGCCATGATATTCATCAAACGGTTGGTATAGTTTGCTGTATAGTAATTGTAGTGATGGGGTATTATAGTGTCCGTTAAACTATATATAACTAATATGACTATATATATTGAAGATAACTGAAATATATAAATGATAGGGAAAAATATTTAAATTTAATGTTTATATTATAAATTAAAAATTAGAATTTTAAATATTGTCTCGTTAAGGAAATTAAAATATATAAAATAATAAAATAAATAATTCAGGCTTAATGAAATATAAACCAAATTATTACTGAAAGTGTTAAATATTAAAACATTAAAATAAGAGATCAAGTGACGTGATCACCACGGACCGGCAACGCTGCGTCAAGAATTCCGTATTAAATGGTAGGAATTCATTTGTAGTCATTCGAAATTCATGCCGTTTGTGGTACGTAGTGATTGATGGAGTTGACAGCAACGGCCGATGTAGGGATCACATCTCGATATTGTGAAAATAACTGTAATGTATGCTCGAAGCTATTAAATTGTTTATTGATTGAAGGTTTGCGTTTATTGATATACAAGGTCTCTTTGATTTTGAGACAGACTGGATTGGTTTCAAACTCGAGTATCGTCGTATTTGGGTCCAGTATAGCTCTAGTGAGAGGCATACGGTGTTCACTTTCAATGTGATTTTTAATGGCACCGTCTTGTACGTGTGTGGTAAGTCTACGAGAAAGACTAGTTCGCGTGTTACCAATGTAACATTCCACAACACTGTGTGGCATAGGACATATGTATTGGTACACGAGGTTCGTCTTCTCTAATGTAGGTCGGTTATTGCTGTTTTTATAATGAGGTTGGACGTAAGATTGGTGTTGTGATATATTATTAATTTAAGTCGATTGTTGTTGTCGCAGATCGAAATGTTGGATTTTATGATGTGTTTCAGTTGTGCTTCGTCGGCTTTGTAGTTGTCGTGCATTTGATTTAAATAGTACAACGGTATTGTTGTTTTAGTTGTTGTTTGTTGAGAAGTAGTAGCAGCTATATTGATGATGTAAAAATATTTAAAAATTATGTTGTCAATTATTTTATTAGAATAGTTATTGTTAATTAGAAGTTGTTTAATTCGCTTTAATTCTTCACAAAAAATATTAATGTCGGATGAAATTTTATAAGCACGATGGACGAAGTTATACACCACAAAATCTTTATAACGATCTGGGAAATCTGAATTATTATTAAGGACTTGACCTGACTTCGAAGGTTTGAGATAAACTTTAGTAACAAATTGCTCATCCTTTTGTTCAATCAAGCAGTCCAAAAGGCAAGTTGTTGTTCAGTGCTAAATTCAACAGTGAATTTTAAATGTGAATTATTTTGAAAGCTGTTCTGAAGGTTATATATGTCTGCGATGGATTTACTAACGATGAATATATCATCTACGTAGCGTGCGTATATCAAGGGTTTGTTGTCCGGATCATTAAATATTCTCGCCTCGAGATCGGTCATATAGAATTCGGTAAATATCGGACCAAGAGGAGAACCCATCGCTACGCCATCGATTTGTCGATACAGTAAGCCATCTGGAGCGGTGAAGGAATTTTTCACGGTACATAATTTCAAGGTTTATTTTTTATTCCATTTTGTTTCAATTTGACATTACATTCAACGCATTGATTTTATACAATTACAATTTGATATACTTTGTTCAATTACCCAAGGCTCCGACGATGGCATGTTTGTTGAAACAGCTGTCAGCCTAGCTATGACACAATTATTGAATAAATATGATTATGAAAAATTGCATTCTGTTGAATCGATTATAAAAAAGTTAATAAATGCTAAATGGCAACAATTTTCAACGAAATTTGCTTAAGCAAAAACCTCGAACCAATATATATATATATATATATATATATATATATATATATATATATATATATATATATATATAAAATATACTGATTTTTCAGCTTTTGAAAGTTTGCGGTTTAGCTTTTCAATATTTCTAGCAGTAACTTTATAACTATTATCCAATTTACTAAAATTAATAAAAAAATCATTGATGTACATAATGAAGCGTTTTGGTGATAAAGATAAGGCTGTACTTATCACACCAATATAAGAATGTTGCTGACGGTAGATTTTATCAAATATAGAACTTATCAAAAAACTTTTGAACGCAGAGTGGGCATACAAATTTAATACAAATTATATATATATATATATATATATATATATATATGCACACACATACATACATACCTAGTATTGGTGTATTTTGTGTTGTGTTAGGTCAAATTCATTTGGTTCTGTGTTTTTCTTAGTTTTTTGTAATTTATAATAAAGTTATTCGATTAAATTTAATTATGTTAGATTGAATGGACTCACATAATTTTTTTTCGTTGGTTAATTGCGGGTAATATTAGTTTAAATTTATTAATTTTTGTTCAATATAATTTAAATTAGTAGTTAATTGTCGAGGTAAAAATTGTAAACGTTATAGAATAGTCATATTTTTTGTGCTGCAAGTGTACTTCTCTGAAATTTAAAGTTTAAATTGTTGTTTGTTGAATTGCATTGTCACGTAGCTTTACTTGTATATAAAATAACAATGTCTACAAACTGTGTTAAATGCATAACGGCATCCCTAAGGAAATACATTCGGATCAGGCAGAAACATGGAAGCGCAATCATTTGGGGAAATGTGCCAAGTCCTAAGAATCAATAAAACACGAACAACGCCACTCCATCAAAGTTCCGACGGAATGGTGGAGCGCTTCAATTAAACCATCATCAAGCACCTGGCCAAGGGTGTCAATAAAAATCAACAAGACTGAGACGGACAGATACTTTTGTACTTAATGGCATATGGAGTGCAGCCCACGCTACCAATGCAAAAACTCCATTCAAGGTCCTTTTCGGAACTACGTTAAAAACTCTAGCGGATATTAAATACGGTGTTCTTCCGGAGACTCCCCAACCGGTAACAAAGTACGTCGAAGAACTCCGTCAAAAATTAGACAATATTCACCAAAACGTTTGAATCAGAACGGGAAAAAACACGGAAAACTTAGTACATCAAGGGCAGTAGCTCAGGGTTTAACAAAAACGACTTGGTCTGGCTGAGCAACTTCCAGCAAAAAAAGGGCGTTGCCCAAAACTCAAAAAAATTGGGAAAGCTTGTACAAGGTCATTAATAGAATAAAAGACGATCCAAGAACATGAGAGACAGCGGGCAAAAATGAAGATTGTTTATTTAGACAAGTTAGCCCCCCGTTTTTTGGAATAAAAAAGTAATCAATACAAAAGTAATCAATAAAGAAGCCTAGAAGTCATATATGGCGCCAGTGCTGCTCAACGGATGAAGAAAGTTTTTTCAGGGCAATATTTTTGTTATTGTAAATTTGTATCTATGCTAAAAATTAGCTATAAATACGTCCTTCGTATTGAGGCTAGAGCAGTTGAGGTTACAATCAGAAAAAGCGAAGTCGTAAACGTAATTTATGTAGTTATTTGGAATAGTTTATTGTTTCTATAACTGTTGGTATTTAAATAAACGTTCAACAAAGTTTGCGTTGGAAGCAATTGTGTTCATATATCGAAAATCTTGAACCTACGGAATAACGAACTCTACAATTGTTGGAAGTTGTAACATTGGTGTTGGAAATATAGAGATTGTTGAAAATATAATATCGGCGTTGGTAGTTACAAGTGCAAGGATTTACAACAATATGCCTGGGACTGTTAAATATCAGATCAATAGTGTCTAAATCAAATGCATATAGTGATCAAGTCCAAGTATTTGTGAAGAAACCTTGCCCTCGAAGCTTGGACGCATTAACAACACTTATTCGGCAATACAAAACAGCTAATCCAGATCAGATATTATCCAGACCAACTACAGTACAAACAGCATTTTTTTGCAACAACTGAAACTAACAGTCAGAGAATGAAAACCAATGTTGAATATGGAAGAACGGACAAGAAATACAATGCACAACAAAACACTAAAAAAGTAAAAGATAATTCATTACCATACTGTGAAATTTGCAGGAAGAATAACCATAGAGCTGACAATTGCTATTTCAGAAATTACAACAAACCTCCAACCCGCAATACCCATACAACTCGAAAATTACCAATGCAGTATAAGCCAGCGAATAAATTTTTTTTTGCAGAGATTCAACAGGGCAATTGTAAACTAGAATTGTTCACAGCATTTGTCAACCAGCGTAAATGTACTACACTAAGAGACTCAGGTACAACCACTTTATTAGTACATCAAGATTGTGTAGAGCCACATTCATATACTGGAGAGTATGAAAACATTAAAGATTACAAAGCATTAGTATTAGATCAGCCTCTGAACGGCATTGGCTTGGTTATTGGAAACATCACTGATGTCAAAAATTGTACAAGATCTGATGTCATACAGTGGCAGAATAACCATGAAGTAAACAGGTCCATGGCGACTACCAGAGCACAGAGTAGAAGAGAAAAGGATCTGAAAAACTAGATCAAAACTAAATGCGGCCACAATTTATCGCAGAACAAATTATGTTGGGGGTTGATGATGAGGATGGAGTTGATTGTAACAGTGTTCATATGTAGTTAATCTAGTATTATAGTATATATATATATATATATTGTCGGAAATTTTAAAATAATAAATAACAAATTAATGAGGAGGAGGATTTTTTTTAAAGGTTGACAAAGCCCCACGTTGGGCGCCAATTGTCGGAAATTTTAATAAAATAATATGAATGAGGAGATTTTTAAAGGATGACAAAGCCCCAAGTTGGGCGCTAATTGTCGGAAAATTTATAAAATGAAAACAATTAAAACAGCTGGTGGTGTGAGGTAATCTCCTCCTCTATCTTTCTCAGGGAATTTTTGTATGGTCCGACAATAATTTTTGTGTATATTTTTATCGTGAGTTCGACCAGTCCTGTGTGGCACTGGGCTTTTTCGAATTATATGATTTTACTGAGTAACACACGAACGCGTAAAAATATTCGATAACAATTTTATTAATCGACGGAAATAAATAAAAGGAATTGAACTAATGAACTCTATAATAATGTAAATGTCAATGAACAAACTGGAATACAGGAATTAGAACTCTTCTTGTTGGGGTCTTCAACTTGGAAAATGTTTCTTGCCGTTTAATCGTAAAACCTCGACGTGTGTATCCGATGGTGATGTCGATACAACCCCAAGAAATAAATAAAAAAATGAATAACAAAAATCGGAGCCTATGGAAATTCCAAGCTGCGTGTGAAACTATACCAATGAGTATAGAATCCAGCAAAGAACCCTAGGTCCACAAATAGCACAAGAACAAAACAACGAGGCGGATTCGTTTTCACAGAACCCAAGGCCTGTTTTCACTGGGCCTGTCTGTCAGTCGGTCGGCTTTCGCACAACCCTGGCCTGTTTTCACTGGGCCGTCAAGTCTGATCGGCTTTCGCACGACCAAGGGCCTGTTTTTACTGGGCCTGTCTGTCAGTCGGTCGGCTTTCGCACAACCCTGGCCTGTTTTCACTGGGCCGTCGAGTCTGATCGGCTTTCGCACGACCAAGGGCCTGTTTTCACTGGGCCGTCGAGTCTGATCGGCTTTCGCACGACCAAGGGCCTGTTTTCACTGGGCCTGTCTGTCAGTCGGTCGGCTTTCGCACAACCCTGGCCTGTTTTCACTGGGCCGTCGAGTCTGATCGGCTTTCGCACGACCAACACAAGACAACAAGAGTCAGAACAACACTGGAAACAATTTGTGTGACTCTAGTACGCGTGCGAAACTATGCCAATGAGCATAGAGTCTCGTACCAAATCCACTTTTGAGAACTTAAGACGTTTCTGAAACTATGCCAATCACGCGTTAAGTCTCTTAGATACCAGAATAGGCACTGATTATTCGAAGCTGCCTAACTGGTGAACCCAAGGCTGACTCTTTGAGAACTTAAGACGTTTCTGAAACTGCCTAACTGGTGAACCCAAGGCTGACTCTTTGAGAACTTAAGACGTTTCTGAAACTATGCCAATGAGCATAGAATCACGCGTTAAGTCTCTTAGGGACCAGAAGAGGCACTGATTATTCGAAGCTGCCTCACTAGTCAACCCAGTCCTTCTCTCCTTTTCACACCCTTCCTTATCAAGGCAAAATTAGATTTTGTTTCGGGTGTTTTAAAATATAAAAATTTACAAGGCATGTCCAATTAATCAGAAAAAGTATTAATTAAATTTTAAAATAATTTGTAATAATTTATGACGTCATCTAAATTGCAAAACAAAGAAAATCGTCATCACCTATCGAGTAAATTAACTTGCACCATGCCCCCTATCGAGTGAATAAATTTCGCGTTGAAAATTTTGCAGTATTTTTAGTCAGTATTATTTCATAATTCTGACAATATATATATATATATATATATATATATATATACAATATATTGTGACCGAATTCTTCAATCAATCAATCAATCAATCAATCAATTAGCTTATAAAGCGCTATTTCCGCGATGTTCAACAGCGCTCCTCAATGAATTTTGAAAAAAGATGGGTTTTGAGATCCGCTCTGAACTTCGCAAGTGATGGAGAAGTAGTCAGAAAAGTAGGTAGAGAGTTCCAGAGAAAAGGACCAGAAAAAGCAAAAGCAGATTTGGCAAAAGAGTGTTTAACACGAGTTAAGAAAAAGCGAGAAGAAGAAGACGATCGTAAACCGGGGCGTTTAGGTTCAATTAATATATCTGATAAGTACTTAGGAAATAATTTAGATTGAGACTTATACATGAACGTGCAAATTTTAAAAATTATTCTATATTTTATAGGTAGCCAGTGCAAGAGAACAAGATATGGAGATATATGAGAAAAGAAAGGGGCACGAGCAACTAGACGAGCAGCAGAGTTAAAAGCTTTACTTAAAGGATAAAGTATAGAGTCAGGAAGACCATAGTAGAGCGAGTTACAATAATCAATCCTAGATAAGACTAACGAAGTAACAAGAAGGAGAAGAGTAGGATCATATTCTTGACAATATTTAATAAATTCCACCGATTTATTAGTGTTTATCAACTTATACCCGAATTTTTCAATCTGTCTTAGTAAATTTGTCTCAACAAAATTGAATCTGTTTAAAATTGAAACTTTATCTAAACAAACATTTTATTAAAATTATTGCAGTAGATCTATTTCGACGTTAAAACGTTATCGTCAGTGCATTATTTATTAATTTATTGATCAGTATTATTATAGTTTTAATATTATTAAAAACATATACAAATAAATTCGAAAAAGAAACATGAAATTGTAATGAAAAATTTTAACGACTAAAAATTTTTAATTTTTTTAAACGATAGTTGTCAAGGCGGCAAAAACAGCGTAAAACTGTGAGGCGCGAAATTGATTCAATTTATTATTATTATTATTGTTATTATTATTGTTTTATTATTATTATTGTCTTTATTATTATTATTATCATTATTATAACTATTATTATAACACGCGACTTAAGGGCGAAAAAGTTACTTATCGATAAACTCCAACACATGTTGTCGGTTACAAACGGGTTGGACACAACGCCACAATGGAAATTACAAATAATAAAGCAATACATCCCATCCCAGTTGGTATTCGAACTTTGCATTTACGATATTTCGTTGACTTGGATAGGCAACAATCTGGATCTATTGATTGCTGAATCGGTTAGAAACTGGTTGGCCCTGCCAATTAGCAGCTGCGTGTCGAAGTATCTATCACTCCCTTTTAAATTAGGAGGATTGAATATCAGATCATTAAAGAGTTACACAGAAGCGTTAAAGTCAAACTTCGATGTTACCTCAAAACGCATGCCAATGAAGAAATAAAATGTTTACATAAAGAATCTTTCAACAGTTACACCAAAATAGACAACATCCTTCCAGCCAACACTTGAAGAACTAATGGCGGGTCAACAAAAGTACGATTATCTACCATCAATTCAATGTCAAGGGATGTTAGTTAAAGCGATTAAAGATCATATTCCAGAAATCCACATAAGTCAATGGTCGAAGTTCACAAAAGGCCTACCAGAGGTTTTATTCAAATTTGTCAGGAAGGCTCTCATTCAACAACTTCAAACAAACGCCATCCTCTATCGCTGTGGCAAGATGCCAAATGCTCTGTGTCCACTATGTTAGGCTCGTCAAACTAATAAGCATGTGTTGTCAAACTGCAGTTCGATTTCGTCTTTGAAAAGATATACAACACGTCACAACAATAAACTATCGATGATTTAAAAAAAAATTCAATTATTTGCAGAAGCGGATGTATTGATCTAAGCAGATTCCAACTGCAGCAAATACCTTCCAGTATCATCTCACTTCAAATCACTTTGTCCATATATTGCCATTCGACGAGGTGATACTATCGAAATATCGGAATTAACAGTTTGCCACGAATCTAACTTCTCTAAATCTAAGGAATATAAAACATCAAAATACTTTCAAAATCGTAATAACAATAACAAGCTCAAATATTATAATAAATTCATTTGAAGTTTTCCCGCTAGGTCTGACCCTTTTCATAGAAGTTTAATTAATTCTATAGTATCGCCATCTTACGCAATTAACTATGATAGGAACACTATTTGAACATAATTTAATGCTGATTCTATTTTTCTTTGTGTCCGTTTAAAATGTATAGCGAGCGTTGTAGAATATCTATAATATATAATTTGTATTATAAGTTTTATTATTTTAATTTTATGATTACAATGTATGTTTAAAATGAAAATAAAAGGATGTTCTCATTATTATTATTACTATTCTTCTTCTTCTTCTTATTATTATTATTATCCCTATCCCTATCATCATTATTAATATTATTGAAATCATCATTATTATTATTGTTGTTGTTATTATTATTACTGCTGTTGTTGATGATGTTGTTATTATCATTATCGTTATTATCATCATTGTTAGATTGCTGGTTGATCCGATTAACGTTTTTGTTCATTCTTTGAGTTGGAGGTGTTGTCGTGATTCGTTGTTGGATGTTGATGGAAGGTTTTTCAGATTCGATAAAAATGGCTTCCGCGATTCTTAGGTTGTATTGCTGTTGATTGTTGTATACAATTTGTGTGTTGTTATCTAGAACATTCCTAGTTATTGTGGTGCTGTGGAAAGTTTCTAGGTGATTTTTGATTGCACCGTCTCTTTGGTGCACAGTAAGTCTATGAAATAGTGTTGTAGTAGTCATCCCTATATAGGAAGTTTAAAGACGCGCACAATCGTCAAGAGGACAAGAAAATTTATATATGAGATGACTACGTTTCATAAGGTAAGTGTTGTGAGGTAGGCACTCAGGCAATTATCCAGAATTAAAAGGTTAGATGTTTTGTAGTTTTTGTAAAAGATCCTTAATTTTATTCTATCGTTTTGGTTAGTTGGTTTAATATTATTATGAATTATCTTCTTCATGATCTTTTCATCAGCTTTGTAGAACGAAGACATAAAATTTCGATAATATAGTATAATGGAGTAATTATTATTATTATTGTTATTATTATTATTGTTGATGTTGTTACTGTTAATGGCATTATCGTTGTTGTTATTGTTGTTGTTGTCGGCAACGGTTTTTTTTCAGAATTTGATGAGGGGTTTCTAGCTTTTGCATCGATCGCTCACGAATGTTTGCAATAGAATTTAGAGCTAAAGGACGTCCATCTTGTGCGGCATGACTGTGATCTGTCACATTTTTAAACACTGGACCGTGTAAGCCCAGTGTCCACACCCGTCCATTGCAAATAGACCGCTTTTCACAAACCCATATACCATGAGTTTTGCTATGATTTCACTTTGAAAAAACGTAAACATGACTTTTTTGAACAAGCTTCCGCTTTTCTCGCTGGGAAACAGCACGTTGATCCATTTAACGTAAGCGATAATTCGTGGACAATAAATAATTAATTCATAAACAGGAGAATTAATAATGTACAGTGATGTAATTCAGTCGCGCGTTTGGCTGATATGCTGCCACATTAACTTTTGCTGCTGAGTTACATTAGGTACTGTCCATTGCAACCGCTCAAGAAAAATCTGTACATATTTTGTTGCTGTAATTTATTTTTGAAAAAGAAAAACGACGGGTTTCAATTAGCCAATGTTTGTTTGTACCTAAAAAATGTTTTTCCCGAATAGTTTTGTATTGTACAGCAAGTAGTCCGGGAGCCAGTTGTCCGGGGGCGAGTTGTCCAGGGGCGAGTTGTTTGGGGGCAAGTTGTCTGGAGGTTAATTGTCCGGGGACGAGTTGTCCGGTGGCGAGTTGTCCGGGGGGCGAATTGTCCGCAAACTTTAAATTTTTCTTTATCATTTAAAATTTCATCGATTTTATTGACGTAATCAATTTTGTTGAAAAATACATAAATTGAAGATTTATATGCACGGCGATTTACAATATCTTGATTATCTTTTGGTTGTTTAGCTGCGGTTTTATTTTCTTCATTTATCAATTTGCTAAAAAAAATATATATATATGTAACGGGTTCGATATTAACTGAACGCAACAACAGATATATTATTAATTCTTTATTAAAACCTAACTAAATAATTAACCGATTAACGAAAATGCAACGATACAATAACCAACTTTACTAATGTCGACTCCGGCACAAGAGCGACAGAAAAGAGAGAAAGACAGCTTAACTCATTTGTGCAGGTATTTATAGACTTGCACGGTGCTCTCTCCTAAGTAAGCGCTTGTACTTTGGTCTAGTAACCAACCCACGTGACCATACGGCGCTCTCTTCTAGGTAAGTACACGTGCTTTGTGCTAGTAAATAACCCCATGGAACAATTTCCATTACATGCCTCCAACTCCTAGGAGGATGAATTTCATCACACATACAAAAAATAAAAACTTAAACAAAACAAAAATCAATGACCGAAAATGCAATAAATATTTCTTGACTTTTATATCCTGGAGAGAAAATCGGCGACATTACGTGAACCTGGACAATAACAGAATTGTGTATCCAATATCCAACACGAGTTTTGAACTTTTTGGTGTCGATTCCGTCAGGTATGTTAATGGATCATGGTCTGTAAAAATTTTGATTTTGGATAAGCTAATCCATGATTGGAATTTTTGAAAAGCCCAAACTGAAGTTGTCTTTGTGCCTCTTTAACTTGGGCATTGTATGGTCTGACATTGGTACAGCTTCGCATCTGATGTTGTTGGTGATGTTGGCCACCACTTCTATTTTTTGATGGATCTGATCTTTCTGAGTCATGTCTGATTCTGGTCATATAATTCATTGGGGGCATGTTCCAGTAAAAATGAAGTTGCACTTGACTGCTGTGATGGAAGCTTGGCTTCAAACCGAAAGGGGACTCAACTCTGAAATCCTCCAGTCTCTGATACTTGCTGAGCCATTCCCTCAACCTGTCATTGACCAGCACATGCTTCCTTGAATATTTGAAAAAAGCCCAGAACTTTTCCAGGCCATATAACTGGCCACTTTGGTAATCGCTGGAAGTGCTCAAACAAGTCAGGTCGAAATCTTTTCTTTAAAACATAATTAAAGAACCGAAACAGACATTCCAAGCCATACCTGAACCCTTTATTGGCATCTTTAATGGCAAGTCGCCTGAACTCCTCGTACATTTTTTGGTGATTGTGGTGACGAAGAAAAAATGACAAGAACCTGAAAAGAGTGTTCATTTCTGTAAACTGTCTGATCCCAACCTTCCGACGATCCTTGAGGCAGTTGGCTCGGTAAGAATTGTACTTGTGGCAGATGAAGTTGTTGTCCTTCAGTAGCTCATGGGATGGGTGCTCCAACGTTACACACGCCACTGATAAGCTTCTTGAAACTGTGTGACTTCTTTCATTAGCTGTCGATAATGCTAAGGACGCGTGTGTTGACGAAAATCCTACGGAAACTTGTTTTGATGTTTTCGGCTTTGCAGGAGTTTTGAGGCTTTCCGGAAAATTCTCGGCATTGGGCGATCTTGGTGATAGAGTCCCACCAGAAGATTTATGATCATATCTTGAGGAGCTGATGTTGTCATTTTTTTTTATAATTTGCTATTTCATCATTAGTTTGTTCCTGATGTTGTTGCGGTTGCTTTTTTGTTGCGGTTGCTGCCTCTGCTGTTGATGTTTTTGTTGTGGTCTTTGTGTTTCTTTGTTCGTCTCGCAACGCATGACGTTACTAGTGGCCGTAAGTGTATCTCTACTTTTCATGTACAGCGCTTTACAATGTGACCAGTCTTTCCGCAAGAAAAACATGTCTGTTTGGGTGAGACTGTTTTGTTGTCATTACTCCTATACATCTGGTGTTTGTTTTCTCGATTCGATTGTATCTGACATTTATTGAAATCGAAAAAACAAACTACAAACATATTAACGCCAAATATTCGGTAGAATTCATAAAATATTGTATTTATATATATATATTTATGTAACATTTCAAAAATTCAACACTACTTTCAACATTGTTCAACTTTTTTATATTTCTTTTTAATTTATTAATTTCAGAGAAATTAGACATTTTATTGTTTTTTTTTAAATTTTTATTAAATAAATTTGCAAATAGCTATTTCGAGTTATAAATAACTCATCTTCAGTGCATTATATATAAGGTATGTAAGATATTTGATATAAAGGAACAAGTAATTATTAATTTATATAAATTATTTAATTAAAACAGAAAACCAATAAAATAAATTTAATAACTATAAACAATATAAAACGCGATTTTTAAAATTTTAACGGCAAGATTGTTTATATTATGGTTGTTAAGGTAAATATAAACGCTCAGCCTAGAAGCGCGAATTAATTTATTTAATTAACTACATATTATTAATATTATTTTGACAATATTTAAAAACGTTATTATTATTATTATTGTTAACGTTATTATTATTATTATCATCGCTGTGGTTCTTCTTGCTTCTTGTGATGATGTTCCATTTGCAAGTGATATTTGCGCTGTGGGTTGTGGCGTTGGTATCTACAGTGTTGGCACTGTTGTTGTTGTTATTGTTGATGCTGTTGTTGTTGTTGATGTTATTGTTGGTGTTGTTGATGTTGTTGTTAGGGTTGTCACTATTGATGATGTTCCAATTGCAACTGATATTTGCGCTGTGGGTTTTAGCATTGGTATCTACAGTGTTGGCACTGTTGTTGTTGTTATTGTTGATGCTGTTGTTGTTGTTGATGTTATTGTTGGTGTTGTTGATGTTGTTGTTAGGGTTGTCACTATTGATGATGTTCCAATTGCAACTGATATTTGCGCTGTGGGTTTTAGCATTGGTATCTACAGTGTTGGCACTGTTGTTGTTGTTATTGTTGATGTTGTTGATGTTATTGGTGTTGTTGATGTTGTTGTTAAAGCTGTCACTATTGGTATGATTGTTGTTTACATCATCAAAATTGTTGGTGATAACATTGTTATAATTATTGCTGTTGTCGTAATTGTTGTTGTTATAACTATTATGATTGTTGTTTTTATTTAGTAGTCTATTTGAAGGTAGAATGTTGTTAGACTGTACTTGAATGTTCACGGAGGGATTTTTGTTATGTATGAAAATTGATTCAGCTATTTTCAGGTTTGTGATGTTGTTATTGCAATAAACTATTTGCGTGTTATTTAACATTTGTCGTGTTAAAGTGATGTTATGCTGTTGTTGATAATGTTGTTTAATTGCTCCATCTTGAAGATGCATGGTCAAACGCCTTGACAAAGTGGTAGTTGTCATTCCAATATATGAAGCATTGTTGCGGTGCAAACATTCACCGACGGAGCATTTATATTCATATATTAGATAACTTTGTTGTATTTGAGTAGTTGCAGGAAGGCAATTATTTTTCATGATTAGTTGGGATGTTTTTAAATTTTGATTGTAAATTCGAAGAACAACTTTATTAATTGGATTTGACGCTACTACGTTTCTGCGTATTATTCCTTTTAAAATTCTTTCATCTTCTTTATACGCCATTGAAAAGGTATTTTTGTAGAAAAATATTATCTTATTTTTGTCATTCATTTGTTGTTGATTTGGTTTCTAATGATCCGGCTGTTGTTGTTGTTGTTATTGTTATTACTGTTTGTGGTGAGGCTTGTGATGCTGTTATTATCAAAGTTATTAGACGTGGTGGAGGGGTTGCCATTATCTTCCTGTTCATTGTTGTTTGGAACGTTGTTGGTAGTTGCATTATTTTGATGTATATTTTGTGCATTTTCATGATATTTTTTGGTTAATCTATTTATGACTTGATCAATTTGTTTCAAAGAGTAATTATTGTTCATATCATAAATAGATGTGGAATCTTTTTTCACTAACGTTCCTGTTGATGCTACAATAGATATTATTTTAAACTATGTATATAATAGTGCTATGAATCCACTAAAAATTAAACCTCATCTGCTAAAACAGTTACTTCAAATCTGCATAAAAGAAGCTCCTTTCTACACTCCTGATGGAAAAATGTATCAGCAGGTTAATGGTGTAGCCATGGGCTCCCCTCTAGGAGTGTTGTTTGCAAACTTCTACATGGGATATTTAGAAGAAACTGTTTTCCAAAAGAAACCACATCTCAAACCCGAAATGTATGTAAGATATGTTGAAAATGTTATGTTATAGTAGAAAATGAAAACAACATGATGGACCTAATTGATGAATTTAAATCCAACTCAGTTGTTTCCTTTACCCATGAAATTGAAAATAATAAACAGCTACCATTTTTGGATGTCCTGATAACCAAAAATGACATTGGTTTTCAAACGCAAGTTTATGTAAAAGACACCAATTTGGGATTTTGTCTTAATGGTAAAAGCGAGACCTCAGAACAATATAAAAATAGTGTTAAATTTTCTTTAGTTAACAGAGCGTTTCAACATTGCTCTGATTATACACTCATCAACTCAGAATTATTAAGAATAAAAAAACTTCTCGTGAACAATAATTACTCTTTGAAACAAATTGATCAAGTCATAAATAGATTAACCAAAAAATATCATGAAAATGCACAAAATATACATCAAAATAATGCAACTACCAACAACGTTCCAAACAACAATGAACAGGAAGATAATGGCAACCACGTCTAATAACTTTGATAATAACAGCATCACAAGCCTCACCCTAACCCTAACCCTAACAATAACAACAACAACAGCCGTATCATTAGAAACCAAATCAACAACAAAATGAATGACAAAAATAAGATAATATTTTACTACAAAAATACCTTTTCAATGGCGTATAAAGAAGATGAAAGAATTTTAAAAAGAATAATACGCAGAAACGTAGTAGCGTCAAATCCAATTAATAAATAGCTGTTGTTGTCATTCGCGATGTATGGAAATGATGAGCTCACACAAGAGGCACCTGTTTGGTGCCGTATTTGTTTGCCGTTGAACGTTTCTATATCGTCCGATATAAATTGTATGTCATAATCGGAAGTATGAAGAAATGAAGAAGGCAAAGGCTATATATACTCCAACAAAGGGGTAGACAGGAAGTTCATTCTGGCGTTGGTTTATTGAATCATTCAGATATTCAGGTCGACGGAGACGAAGAGGCCATTGACTTTGTGAGGGAAGTACATCATCGTCCGAAGAAGTTCGTTCGAAGTGTATCGTCTTCTGAAGAAATTTATCCGAAGCGCATCGTCATCTGAAGAGGTTTATTCGAAGCGCATCGTCTTCCGAAGAAGTTTATCCGAAACGCATCGTCATCTGAAGAAGTTTATTCGAAGCGCATCGTCATCTGAAGAAATTTATTCAAAGCGCATCATCATCCCAAAGAAGTTTGTTCAAAGTGCATCGTCGTCCGAAGAAGTTCATTCAAAGGGCATTCGAAGCGCATCGCCGTCCAAAGAAGTTTGTCCGAAGTGCATCATCTAAAAAAGTTCGATTGAAGTTCACTATCCGACGGTACATCCCATTAAGTTAATTAAACTATAGATTTTAAATAATAATAATAATAATAACAATAATAATAGTCACAACATTAATAATACTGGTAATAAGGGTAGTAAACAAAATAACAACGAAAATAATACGGAAAGATTTTTATTTATTAACATCTTAATTGTTTGATTATTAATCATTGTCAATAAAATTTATAAAGAATTAATTTGTAGTATTGTATTTGTAAAATATTAAAAATGAGTCAACGCTTGAGAGAAGCCTTGCGAGCGTGCGGAAAGACCGGTCCGTACGCCCGGCAAGAAGGGTGAAACATCTCTTTATCTCTTTTGCCCGGCCCGTATATTCCGACCCTGAGGTCGGTAGAAGATATTGTAGACCGGCGAGTCTCGGCCAAGGGAACGACCGCCTGAGTGAGGGTGTGTGGTATCCAGCGACAGATGGCGTGTGCGATTGCCACGGTGCTGATGACCGACACCGACCCTACCGTGTCGACGATCGCCGACGCAGCGAGGATAGCGGCAACGACGAGCGCGTCGACGGAAGAGGTGGTAGGGGAGAACACCGCAGCATCCTTCACGGTGTCGACGAAAACTCTACATAACCCTACATAATTGAGAACATATCTCTAAAATCTGCTTTCTATCATGGCTGCTGCAAAAAACCTTATCATTGTCTTTACATTCCTCCAGCTGATATATAATAATGTTTTGCATTCTCTCCTCCAAATCATTATTAATTTTAATACCACCACTTGTTTATTTAATAGTCTTACAAATTGTTGACACCTCTCTATTAACCTCCTGTACTTTGCTTTTCATCTCACCTGCAACTTCAGCCCAACTTTTATTGAGAGAAGCTTTTAAATTTTTAGAAATGTCAATAATTGCATTTTGCAGTGCTATAAATTTTTTCTCATTTTTATCAGATAAGGCTGAAATTTCCTTCACCATCTCATTACTTTTAACTTTTAACCTAACCAGTTCCTCCTTCATTTCCCTCTGCTTAGCATTCAACTCATTGTATACATTTAAATTCTTAACGTGAACCAGACAATCATCCCAGCTCCAGCTGAAATTTGGAATCTCACTAACTTTTCCCATCAATTCATGCCCTGTGAATGAAGTTGTAAACAACGTTGTTTTTGTAACGTGTAGGGCAGTCGGATGTGTTGTTTAAGACCTGACCAGAGTTGGAAGGTTTGGTAACTTTTCATCTTTGGTAACTTTTCATCTTCCTGTTCTGCCAAACAGTCAAGGAACGCAAGACGTTTGTCAACACCCAATTCTATTGTAAATTTTAGATGAGAATTATTTTGAAATATATTTTGTAGATTGTATATATCGGTGATTCGTACTTCTATCTTCACTTTTACTTTTGACTTTTACTTTTAACTTTTGAAATTCATTTCACTTATTTTGTATATTGTATATTTTATTATCAGTTATCTTAACATTTAATTTATTTTATTGGCAAGTTAAGTACCATTACTCAAATTTCGTATACTTTTACATTAATTTTAATTTAATTTCCTTAATCATTTTACGCTTATATCTTCCTAATTTGGTTCGTTTATTCTTCTTGATTTTACAATTTTAAATATTCAATTCATATTTAATAATTTAAACGTAGGCTCTGAAGATGACATACACTGTCGAAACGACGTCGTCAGCCGTTCGAAATGCTTGACGAGTTTAATAAAATTGAGTTACAACAATTGCGTCTTATCGAACAAACCCCAAAAAAATTAATTAATACAAAATGGGCAAGAACATTCAACCAAATTTGATATTTATATATATATATCAATAATAAATATAATTATTTTATTTCATTTATTTTAGTTAATTAATTTATATATTTTAATTCACTTCTTTCATAATAACTGACTGTTTTTAACATTATTCACAGTATTTCAATTTGGCTCCAAAGCTGGCAATTAGCTAAAACAGCGCTGTAAGCCAACCAGAATTTATGGCTGATTTAAAAAGAATATAAACAATTACGTAATGTCAAATCTTGTATTAAAAAACTGTTGTACGTCCATAGGCATTTCAATTTAATGACACATGCATCAAAGAAAGCCTCGTTTTCAAATTATATATATATATATATATATATATATATATATATATATATATATATATATATATATATATATATATATGAGTGTGTTTTTGTGATATGATGTGTGTGTGTGTGCAGGTAAAAATAAATGCAAGTAATTTATAAAATCTATAGAATTTCCCTGGGAAGTATGCCTTAAGCCTTATGCCTGAAATGAAAGCGATTTTAATGGCCACGTTGGAGAGAAAACAGATGGTTTTGACAACGTGCATGGCGGTTTTGGCTATGGAGAACGGAATGAAGATGGCAACCGCATCCCTGAGTTTGCTGAAAGTCATGGGTTTTGTTTACTGAACACATGTTTTAGAAAGAGGTTGGAACATCTCAAAACATACAAAAGTGGACCATCAGCCACGCAAATTGATTACTTTGCTGTCAAGAAACAGCACCGAAGGCTATTCAAAAAGGTCAAAGTTTTACCTGGTGAATCATGTGTCGCCCAACATAGACTTCTTGCGGCAGACCTGGTTGTCAAACTGTCAAAACATAAGTCTAAACAAATGCCTCAGAAAATCAAAACGTGGAAGCTAAAAAGCAATATTCATCGAGAAAAATTTCAACAGATTGTCGCCACACAGTTAGACCACTAATCGCAATCCAGTACAGGTTGGAGTACATACAAAACCGTTTTGATAAACGCTGCAACTACAGTTTGAAAGAAAACTGGTACAAAACGCCAGCATGAACGGGACACGTGCTGGTGTACAAAATGCAATAGCTGAAAAGAAAGCTGCATACAAGCAATGGCAAAAATCAAAGTCAAATCAAAGTCTGTTGATGACCATAAAATTTTCCGTGAGAAGAACAACTATGCAAGACGTCAAGTCAAACTGGCTCTGACAGATCAGTGCAGAGAGTGGCTCATTAAAAGCAAAGGGGAACAAATGAAATCTCTGTATCGTATAGCAAAACAAGCAAAGCGTACGAAAAAAGACATAACTGGTGCCTTGTATATCAAAAACGACAAAAATGAGATCGTTCTTGAACAAGATGAGATCAAGATACAGTGGACAGAATACTTCAACCGTCTGTTAAATGAAACTAATCCCATCAATGTTAACTTTGACGCTCCACCCATCGAAGGCCCGATTCCAGACATCACTGTAGAGGAGCTTACAGAAGCTCTGAAAGCTATGAAGGATAGAAAAGCAGCAGAGCCCTCTGGACTCACAAATAACATTATCAAAGCATCTGGTACTGCAGGTATCCAAACGTTACTACAACTTTGCCGTGAAGTGTGGAAAAATTGCTCAATGCCGACTGAATGGAAGTATAGCACGACAGTCCCGCTATACAAAGGCAAAGTTGATCCATTGAACTGTTCATCATATCGGGGTATACGTCTGTTAGAACACTCCCTGAAACTTGTCAAGAAAACCATTGAGAGAAGATAACGTCGTGCGTTACAATCGGAAATTATCAATTTGGTTTCCTAGCGGGGAATTCAACAATTGATGGAAGTGCAAGAGAAGTATCCCGCAAAGCTTCAACAACTATCACACATTTTTGTACGCCTTGAAAAAGCATTTGATTGAGTTCCCCGTGAAGCAATCAGGTAGAGTCTACGTCGACAAATCATTCCAGAATATCTTGTTCGACTTGTGATGGAAATGTATACCAATACTAAGACTATCGTCAGCACAACGGCTGGAAACACAGATGCATTTGATATTGGCGTTGGAGTTCACCAAGGCTCGATTCTCAGTCCACTGTTATTTATAACTGTGATGGAAGAAATCACAAAACCGATACGCACTGGTGACATTTGGAATCTAATATACGCTGATGGTATCGTTATAACAGCCACGTCTGAGCAGAATGCAGCACAGATGTTTGAAGACTGAAACACCAGATTCGCCGATCATGAATTCATAGTCAATATCAGCAAAACCAAAGCAATGAACACCGGTGACCCCATCCAATCCACAGCTACTGGACGATGGCCCTGTTCAGTTTGTAAAGCTTGTGTCACAAACGTTGTTAAAAAATAATTGGTACTTTATCTAAAGTGTCCAATTTTGTTTGTCCTGCTTGCATCAATCTACAACAACAAATTCGAAATAGCAATGTTTTTGAAGCCATTAAAGTAGAGAAAGTAACATCGTATTAATACCTATGGAATATTCTGGATTGTACTAGAACAGCTGAAGCTGCCGTTCGAGCACGCTTGGAATCTAATATATGCTGAGGATATTGTTATAACAGCCACGTCTGAGCAAAATGCAGCACAGATGTTTGAAGATTGGAACACCAGACTCGCCGATCATGAATTCAAAGTCAATATCAGCAAAACCAAAGCAATGAACACAGGTGAACCCATCCAATCCACAGCTATTTGGATAATGGCCCTGTTCAGTTTGTAAAGCTAGTGTCACAAAAGTTGTTCAAAAATAATTGGTACTTTATCTAAAGTGTCCAATTTTGTTTGTCCTGCTGGCATCAATCCACAACAACAAATTCGAAATAGCAATGTTTTTGAAGCCATTAAGGTAGAGAAAGTCACATCGTTTCAATATCTAGGGGATGTTCTGGATTGTACTAGAACAGCTGAAGCTGCCGTTCGAAGCCTGGAATAAATGGCATCTCCTTGCCTCTATATTGATGCGGCGTGACATCCCACTACCACTACGATCAAGACTTTATAAATCTGTGATACGTCCGGTGTTGTTATATGGTGCAGAAACATGGCCAATGACAACCAAACTGGAACATCAACTTCAACGAACCGACATGAAAATGCAACGATAGATGCAACGAATTAGTCTGAAGGACCACATCAAATCTACCGAAATCCTGCGTCGTTCTGGTTTAGATGATATAAAGGACGAATGCCGGCAACACCGTCTGCGTTGGTTTGGCCATGTCAAACGAAGTGGAAACAGTGCCATAACTTCTTTTGCAGATGTTGAAGTACCTAGCATACGTCCTAAAGGCCGACCAAAGAAATGTTTGTCGCAAACAATCGAGCATAACATGAAAGCTCTAAATTTAAATGAAATGGATAAAACTTGATGGCAAGAAAACTACGTCCTACCTCGGGAGAATTGGGTCTCTGGACGTTAAACGATGATTAATTTTAAAACGCAAACCTTTGTTCCTATAATAGCATTAATTGTTATCAGTGACTGTGTTGAGTTTACTTTCTTCTTTACTAAATGATATGGATTTTTTGTTCGGACTAATTGCTTTGGTGTTATGTTTTATTGCATCAGTGTTATGTTTTATTGCATATGTGTTATGTTTTAACGCTTTGGTGTTATGTTTTATTGTGCTAATAACACTGGTGTTGTTTTATGGTTCTAATTTTATTGGTGTCATTGATTTGCTCTTTGATAGCACTTTGGTAGATGTCTTCATAGGTTCCACTAGTGTTATTAATATATTTTATTATTGTTCTTCTTGTAGGGAGTATTGTTAAAATCTTTCGTTGTTTGTTTATTAAGAGTTGTTTTATGTCGATTAGAATGGCCAGTACGAGTACATAATGTCCACCATCTCACACTACGATCTAACTCGTTATACGCTAGATTTAAAACATCAGGTTATGCATTTATTATTTCATTAGATAATGTGTTTTTTAGATAATTCAAAAAACACAATTTAGTCGCTAGAGAGCTACTGTTACTCTGTCAAATAAATAAAATGTAGTGCTGACTTGCATCAAGTAGGTGAGCATATTAATGGGTGAAAATTGTTGTCCGTTGAGATTTGATGAATGGGTTTTTAATTGATGACAATAGCCATATGTAAAATCATTTTGCGACAAACGTTTAATTAGATTTCAAAAAAATCAGAAGACACACACAAATTTAAAATAATTAATTTTTTTGAGGCTCCATTTGTTTAACTTTTTGCATGCTCAGAAGATGCCTCTTGAACCGCAGGACTGGCAACAAACAACAACGACAATATTAGCAACATTATTAATGTTATCGATAAAGATAAAACAAAAAATTTTAAATGTTTTTAGGTGAATTTTTCTCTTACTTTTTAGCTTCGTATTTTGCTTCAAATTCAAGATAAATTATTCGAATAATAAATTCAAATAAAAATTAACAGAGATAAAATACATTAGATTTATGAGATAATAACATATTAAAATTATTCTTATGGTGTTTTTTATAACGGAAAATAATAAAATTTAATATTGTAATTTGATTCATTTAAATTTTTATCATTACATTATTTGTTAATTTTATTTGACATATTATTTACATATTTTATATAACTTTAATAAAAACACCTATCGAGTGAAATTAAATTTTAAGCTAAATTGCTACATTCATCAGAAGCTGTTTAAAATTGGCAAAAAGTTGTTTTTTGTGTGAATGCGTTCAAGCTCTTAAATTTTTAAATGCTCGCCAAGCCTTTCCAGGATACAATATTTTGAAAAAATAACTTTTTGATTTAGTTTAATACTTTAATTATTAAAAAATACTTTATTTCGTCTGAAAACAGGTTAAAGGTCTATTAAACTCTTCTTAAATTCAGAAGAAATAACACTTCACAAACATCTTATATGAATGAATGCTAAACGAAGCATCCCACACGTTCCTTTTGTCTTATTCAGATTGAACCCAGTCACCGCGAAGTAGCACCAGGTGGCATTAACCAATAGGCCATAACGCCGCCAAAGATGATAAAATTGGCTCTTTCTTTAACAGAAAGGCAGAAAAATAGTTTTATTTAAAAATTTGAAGTATACTCAAACTAAATTCTGCAATAATACTTTTAAAATTATTAGTTAGGGAACAACAGACAGACAAAACAGAAGATGCTGATCAAGATAAAGAAAAAGTTAACATAAAAATAAAAAAACGAAAAAAAATTATATTACCGAGGTTAGTTTTACGCTAAAAAATTATTTTTTTTTCTTGTTTACTTGTACACAAACAGTTATTGTAACTTAAATTGAAACAATTTTTTGGAATTGTCCAAGTTACTTTTTCATTTAATTATAAAAATTTGTTCACAATTTTACTTTGTTAACACTTATCTATTATTTTGTTTGGTGATTCCTATTATTAGATGATCTTGATTTCTCTACAACAATTTTCATCGGTGCCAATTTTTGATCTTTATAATATACAGTATCATTATTATTTTTTTTCCCAATTTTCACAGCTTGTTTAAAGCTGGCCATTGACAAATCCAAGATGGAGATTCACCCGAGAATTTTTCTTATAATGCTCGCTGTTCCTATTAATGCTATTTTTTGAATTTCAGCCAGAGCCGGTTTTCCTGGAAATTCTTTCAAAATATTATCTAGAATTTTGAGGTTACTCCTAGTGCCCACTACAAAAGGAATATATTTTAACTTTCGAATTTCACATTCCTGTATTTCAATTTGAAGATTTTTGTACTAACAGATTTTTTCTGTCTCCTTTTGCAAAATATTTTATTCGTCTGGGACTGATGTATCTATCAATAGGCATATATTTTTGGTTTTTTCTTGGAAAATAATGTCTGGTCTATTTGTTTCTATTTTTCTAACTGTTATAACTGGCTTGTTCCATAAAATTGATATAGTAACTATATTATAGTTGTTAAATGCTAGGGTTTATGCTTATAATATTCTCAGTGGATATAGCTAGCAACTCGATTGTGTCTCTTGTCTTCAGTTGATGCCAGAAATGGACATCCAGAGATACATTCTACATAGACCATCAACATTCAGTTTAAGTACTCTTTTTTGAAAGTATATCTAGTGTTTAATGTCTGATCATGTGCAGCTATTAAATAGATTTCTGTTTCCACTTCAATCCTGAACTTCTTAACTATTCGCATGTCTTTTATCAAATCTATTCCTGTTTTATTTACATTGTTAAAAAATCAATCATGTAATTGTTTATTTTTATACTTTTTTACATAATAATCTTTTAAAAGTTTTTTAAATTTTGTTTTGATTACATCTTTATCTATAAAATGACGATTTTTAATTTTATTTACTTCTTTAAAAATTGAATATTTCCTTTTACTTTCATCGCCTTTTGCAATTATTTCAATCAATCTATCTTGTCTGTTGAAAATGTACTTGCTGAGGTATGTGATTGCTTTTTTGAAAGAATTTTTAATTCCTTTTAGCCCTCTACCCCTTCACTTCTGTTGAAATACAATGGATCAACTTCAGCATTCGGATGATGTGCTCCTCCCATAGTCAGCAATTTTCTTCTTTTCCTGTCAATCTGCTGTAATTCTGATCTTCACCATTCAATGATATTTATTATTGTTATTATATTTATTTATTAGCTGATGTTTATGACTGGATTGCCAGATTGTTGATAGTCATCACTTTATTTTTTTGCATTCAGCTGTGTCGTTAAAATCAATTTCACCCCACAATAGCATTCTTTTTTGCATTGTTCTTTTATCACCTTCCTTCTGCTTTTCCCATCCCCAAATATCTGTACGTTTCTTTTGCATCTGCACCTCTGAGGTGGATATCCTGATCAATATTTATAACGCTGCTTCGCACCATAGTATCCCTTCTAACAATTGGAGTAGCACTTTTTGAGTTGGTCATCGTTAGGCATAAAGAGTTCCGTATCATCCAATCATTCATATATAGAAAATGACTTATACATTGATTATATATATATATATATATATATGTATCCCAAAAAATCGAGAAAAAAATGCTGAAGTATCGAGAAAAATTTCAACAGATTGTCGCCACATAGACCACCAATCGCATGACCATGTTTTTGCACCATATAACAACACCGGACGTATCACAGATTTATAAAGTCTTGATAGTAGTGGTAGTGGGATGTCACGCCGCATCAATATAGAGGCAAGGAAATGCCATTTATTCCAGGCTGCACGTAATAGTGCCCGAACGGCAGCTTCAACTGTTCTAGTACAATCCAGAACATTCCCTAGATATTGAAATGATGTGACTTTCTCTACCTTAATGGCTTCAAAAACAGTGCTATTTCAAATTTGTTGATGTGAATTGATGCAAGCAAGACAAACAAAATTGGACACTTTAAATAAAGTGTTTGAACAACGTTTGTGATACCACTGGTTACACTGCTGACACCTGATTGAATCGTTACCTACACCAGCTTTACAAACTGAAGAGGGCCATCGTCCAGTAGCTGTGGATTGGATGGGTTCACAAGTGTTCATTGCTTTGGTTTTGCTGATGTTGACTTTGAATCTACGATCGGCGAGTCTGGTGTTCCAATCTTCAAACATCTGTGCTGCATTCTGCTCAGACGTGGCTGTTAAAACGATATCATCAGCATATATTAGATTCCAAATGTCACCAGTGCGTGTCGATTTTGTGATTTCTTCCATCACAGTTATAAATAACAGTGGACTGAAAATCGAGCCTTGGTGAACTCCAACGCCAATGTCAAATGCATCTGTGTTTCCAACCGTTGTGCTGACGAGAGTCTTAGTATTCGTATAAATTTCCATCACAAGTCGAACAAGATATTCTGGAATGATTTGTCGACGTAGACTCCATATGATTGCTATAGTTCCATTCAGTCGGCATTGAGCAATTTCTCCAGATTTCACGGCAAAGTTGTAGTAACGTTTGGATACCTGCAGTACCAGATGCTTTGATAATGTCATTTGTGAGTCCAGAAGGCCCTGCCGCATTTCCATCCTTTATAGCTTTCAGAGCTTTTGTAAGCTCCTCTACAGTGAAGTCTGGAATCGGACCTTCAATGGGTGGAGCGTCAAAGTTAACATTGATGGGATTTGTTTCGTATAACAGACGGTTGAAGTATTTATTCTCTCCACTATAGCTTGATCTCATCTTATTCAAGAACGATCTCATTTTTGTCATTTTGATACATGAAGCACCAACTTTGTCTTTTTTCTTACGCTTTGCTTGTTTGCTATACGATACAGAGATTTCATTTGTTCATCTTTGATTTTAGTGAGCCTGTTGAAATTTTTCCCGATGAATATTGCTTTTTTGTTTCCACGTTTTGATTCTCTGAGGTATTTGTTTAGACTTATGTTTTGACAGTTCGACAACCAGGTCTGCCACAAGGAGTCTATGTTGGGCAACACAGGATTCGCCAGGTATAACTTTGACGTTTTTCAATAGCCTTCGGTGTTGTTGCTTGATAGCGAAGAAATCAATTTGCGTGGCTGATGGTCCACTTTTGTATGTTATGAGATATTCCAACTTCTTTCTAAAATATGTGTTCAGTAAACAAAACCCGTGACTTTCAGCAAACTCAAAAATGCGGTTGCCATCTACATTCCGTTCTCCATAGCCAAAACCGCCATGTACGTTTTCAAAACCATCTGTTTTCTCTCCAACGTGGCCATTGAAATCGCTTCCAATCAGTAATGTTTCAGATTTTGATATTGTTGAGATGGTATTAGAGAATGCAGCCCAGAAGTCATTTTTCATCTCTTCTGATTTGCCTGTCTGTGGTGCGTATGCAGAAAAAATAATCATTGTTTGCTTTTCTATGCAAAGCTTGATCCACATGAGACGTGAATTAATCCTTTTAATACCCAGTACTTTTTTGGCTAGCGGTTCTCTGACAAAAATTCTAACACCTTTTAAGGCTGTCTTTTGACCATTCCAGAATAGTTTACATTTTTCTTTGTCTAAGTTGACATGACAGACACCATTCGATTTCCATCGGGTTTCCTGAAGGCAGCAAATGTCAATCCTTCTACGCTTGAGCATTTTTGCGATTTACTTGCTGCGGCCAGTCAGTGATCCAACATTGAGCGTTTCAAGTCTGAATACCATAGAAGGACCATTCTGAATTTTTCTACAACATCCCGCCGCTATTGCATATATATATGAATTGACTTGAATTCACAAGTGTGCCTGTACGTGAGTATATATATATATGTTCTCTATACGGCAGATATTGTGGAAGTTGTTGAGTCATCGGGTTTGAAATGTCACCTTTACGCAGATGATATACAGCTGTATAGTTACTGTAATATCAAAGAAAGACAGGAACTAGCGGACAGAACTCAAACAGGTGTCAGAACTGTCTCAGAATGGATGCTGGCAAATGGATTGAAGCTGAATATTGACAAGACACAATACATCTGGTTGGGTACTCGTCAAAAATTAACTGGTATTCAGGAATATGTAGAGCCAGTCAAAAATCTTGATGTTTGGATAGATCCTGAATTGAAGATGAATAAACATGTGAAAAAATGTCTGCCGATGATGTTTTTACCAATTGCGCCAAATCAGACGTATAAAAAAGTACCTGACAAATGAATGCTTAATTTCATTGATGCACAGTTTCATTTGTGGAAGAATAGATTACTGCAGTTCAATCCTCTATGGTACAAGCTTGTATCTTCAAAACTGCATACAGTCTATTCTGAACATTGCAGCAAGAATAATTGCTGGTGTAACAAAATATGAATCTGTTTTATCATATATGCGAAATGAGCTTCACTGGTTGCCAGTTTGTTATAAAATCGAATTCAGAATAGCAATGTTTACAAGAGACAGTTTGATGGGGCATGGTCCTCGATACCTTCAACAGCTGATCGTGCCTGTCCCTACGGCTGCCGGGGGGCGAAAACTTAGATCCTC